GTCCGTCTTGGGTGCCCTTGCACAGCATAGTTCATAACTTAATTGTGCTACACAAGCCCCTGCAAGGCAGTGATCCATGAAGGGGATTTACCAAGCACTAATTGGCCCAGAGATCTTAAAGTAGGATGGGCAAAGTTTCAAAAGAAGGCAAAATCTAACAGGTTGGAATTCATGCCCCTGAATTTATGCAGAAAGATATTATAGGAGTAACTTTTGCCACCATTCCTTCTTGCTCTCTCTTTATATAATAGAGAGAAGATCCACCTGAGGAGCAAGTTATGAATTAAGAACTGAATTATAAATGATGAAAAGATGATAAAATAAGGTAGACCTGATTACTAATGAAGTGGCTATATAAACATCAAATTATAATGAAACCTTTGGTGTTGCCTCTAAGGAACTGGCATCTTGTGAAAGAATCTCAACATTTTAAATTAATTAATCAATCCATCCATTCTCAGCAGATGGACTTAAATATAAATTAACAGATGTGAACATATTTTAGCAAATATAGTCAGTTTCCATGGGTTTAATTGGAACTGGGAAATATCCAGCAGCTAAATGAAAATCACCCAAATTTGATCAATTCAACCACAATTTCCCTTGCTAAAAGAAAGTGAAGAGAGGTATCCAGAAATGGAAATCACATAATTTCGTTTATACTACCTATTACAAATGCAAATATACATGCAATTAGTCAATAAAACCCAAATATTAGCCCTCTTTTTGCTACACAGCTGCTTACTGCTTTGTCTCAACTTCTGGTGATTCTGCCCTGCCTCGCCTGCTTCCTGCGTTCACACACTGGGTGGAGGATGTGAAAGGATCGTTATGCATGTACAGCTGTACAATCCTGGCTCCTGACTGTGTTGAAGACACTTCACATACAGAGCATTGAAGAGGTCAACGTTCTGTACCAGAACACACATCTTGCATGTAAGAGGCCCCAGGTTCAATCCTTGGCATCTCTAGGTAGGGCAGGAAAAACTGCTGCCTTGAAACCCTGGATAGTCACTGCAGTCAATGTTGACAGTACAGGATGAATGTACCAATATGACTAAATATACAGCAGCTTCCTGGGTTGCTATGCACAGAACCTATTTTTGTATTTTCTACTGAACACAAGGAGATTAGGGAAAAACAAGAGGCCAAAATCCCACTCTTTCTATGCATTCACTATGTGCACTGAGGGGAGGTATATAAAGGGCTATTAATTCTTTGTAATCTATTTTATACTATAACCCATTAATCACATTTTTAATTATTAGTTCTATTTCTCATGGTTATTGATTTGTCTTTATGATTTCTTCTTATTTTACTATTTGTCATTTAATTTTTCATTGACGATCAATACAGATTAAAGCTACAAAAAGCTAGCGCATGAAGCTTGGTATCTTCCTTCTCTTTCTTCATGTGCTGATGTTATCTAATGCTTGAGTGAGAAACACATGCCTGAGATGAAGTATTCCAGGCTGAGGTGGCCTAGCAGTTTAGAAAAATTAGCAACATTTTTCTAGCACTAGCAAAATTCTCTGACAGCAAGTTTTACTTTAGTTTGTAGTTTTACCACTAGTATACCACAAAGAGCAAATATAGTGCCAATAGTGAATATCAACTGAGTTATAAACAAAATAATATGTCCAGTTTTATTGATTGGAATACTGAGTCTAAAATTATAGCTTATCTGATTATGCCAACCAGGCCCTTGCCCTGTAAGATGATGCCTGGGGATATATGTAAGCCAGACTGAGTTCTTCAGAGGAAAAGCAGAACAGAAAAGAAGTCAACAACGACAGCAACAGCAACCAATTATGTAGCTAGGTGGTTTAATAATAGAAGAAATTTCTCAAGGTTCTGCCACAGAATGACCAACATTTCAGATTTCATTCTGAAATTCTAAGTCTCTAACCCAAATGACTGCTGACCAAGGAAACACCAAAATATGCTGGGATGACTCTACTTAAGCCTCAGATATTGAGTCCCAGTCTTCAGTCCTCAGAAGTAATCTAAGCCTATGACTTCTCATCCTCCTGCTTCTATTAATCATTTATCCCAAATGTCCTGTCCCATCCCGCCCCCACTTTCATAAAATGTAAAGTTGCTTCTTAGAGCACTGTGATATGATAATATCCTAAGAGGGCAGTAACATAATGCTGAAACTGCCATTGCCAGTTTAGTTGGAGATTTGTTTGCTTGCTGTTGGATAACTGAATTCTGCTCTCTAGTGTGTAACACTTGATGTCATTAAGTTCACATTTATTTATTTATTTATTTAGAAGACTTAACACTTGATGTCATTAAGTTCACATTTGTTTGTTTGTTTGTTTGTTTGTTTAGAAGACTTAAATCCTATCTCTCTGCTTGTTATTATTCTTGTTGTTATTATATTGGGCAGTAAAGGAGCACATAATACATGTTGTCCTTGACTTCTTCCATATTCTTTCCTCTTATCTGCTACCTGGATGATTGTTAAAAACTTAATAGATCAAGATTTTAAATGAAAATGAAAAATTCACTGGTCAATAAGAAAGTGCAGCCTTTTGTTAATATTACTTGCAATATTGTATCATAACAAATATGAAACAGAAGAACAGACAATATATTCAGTTCTACTTTTAATTAATCATTGGTAATCATAGGTAGTAAGAAGCACAGCGGCTCATCAGGTAAAGACACCAAGCTTGTCAACCAGAAGGTCAGCAGTTCAGCAGTTCGAATCTCTAGTGCTGCATAATGGAGTGTTCTCCCATTACCTACCCCAGCTTCTGCCCACCTAACAGTCTGAAAGCATGAAAATGCAAGTTGTTGAATAGGTACCACTTCAGTGGGAAAAAACAGCATTCCATGCGTGAAAGTGTCCAGTCATGCCAACCACATGACCATGGAAGCATCTTCAGACAACACTGGCTCTTTGGCTTAGAAACGGAGATAAGCACCATCCCTAGAGTTGGACACAACTAGCACACATGTGTGGGAGGAACCTTTACCTTTATCATATACAAACACTTTTAAACATAGGTAAAAGTTTAAAATGCTTACTTCCTGTACCCACCAAAGGACTGCAACTGCTGAATCAAAATCCTATGTTGCTGGAAGGAGCAGTCTGAGATCAGAACACTCCAAATAGCTAATGCTGTGCAGGTAGATGCCTGGCAGATGCTAAGAGTGAGTAGGACTGACCTTGTAAGGTCCAAGGGATGGGCAGCAGGATGCTAGACTGAGGCACTGGGACCCAGGCAGCACAGTCGATAAGGTATAAGGCCAGAGTCCAGTCACCAGTCAAATCCAAGTGGTTATCCAGAGAAAGTCAAAGTCAAAACCAGGAGTGAACAGGGAAGCAAACAAAATGTAAGCCAAATAGCAAGAGCATAATCAAAACAAGCCTATGATTAGGAGGTAGGAAGACAGCACAAAGAAATGGGTACCCAGGAGCAGGGCTTCAGACATTGGAGACCAGTGTTGTGGAGGCAGTTTCTGGAGGAAAGAGCTCTTCTCCCAGGTTCCCATAAAGGCCCTGGCAGCTGCAGCAGAGACTGGAACTAAAATTAAGGCATTTGGCCAGCAGGAGGAGCCCTGAAGCTGCCTAGATCCTGACAGAGCTCAAGATACAAGGCAGTGGGGTTCTTTTTGCAGAAGTTGCAAGGGGTCAGTAGAAAGGACTGGAACGCAGAGTTTCCCTCCTGCACACATTGCTCCCAAGGTCATAGGAATGTCTACCACCTCAGGAAGAAGAATCTGAAAAAATCTATGGCCCCTAAGATGTTTTCCTAAGGACTATAAGATTGTTCTCTTAGCTGCTTACTCCTACATGCTCAGATTACCTAAGAGAAAGTTTTGTCAAAACTGACAAAACACAGAAAACTAAAATGACTAGCAGAATGGAATAACTTGCTTCTGGGAAAATGGCTAAAGTGGTTTTGGTTTAGAAAAAGTGATTATTGAAAATTTAATAAAGGTTTTTAAAAATAATGGATGAAATTGAAAGACTGGATAAAGCGACATTTATCTCTCCTTTTCAGAATTCAGTAATACGGATTTGACAGTAGATGTCCAACAGCTACATCTGGAAGTTTTCTTACACATGTAATTAAGTTATGGAAATCATTACCATAAAGACAGGACAACATTATGAAGGTATTAGCCATCATATTTAGTAGAAGCTCCATGTCCACAGTTACTACTTATCTGAATGCACAGAAGAAAATATGTTTTTCTTTCATTATACATTAAAAATTATACTCAGAATGACATATATAGGATTTCCACACAGTCCCTCACCCAGGTACTGACCAAGTTCAGACTAGCTTAGTTTCAGCAAGATGTGCTTAGATTGTCATGTCTCATTAGTAAAATTCCCAGAGGCATTTGGTTGGCTGCTGCTTGAAACTAAGGAATTCAGAGTTTGACATACTATTGAATCAATGAAATCAGTTAGTTATGACTAAATTAAATTCTATTTATTTCAGTGGGCCTGTTCTAGATCTGGGTTCAATCCCAATCTATAAACTTCAAGTAGTATGTTGAGTGGCATGACTATTTTTTTAAAAAAAATCCCATTCACACATATTCTTGCTATCCATTAACCAATTGAAACTCATATGTTAGTCATTAGTCATCACCTTTAAAGCTACGTGGTCTGGTATATAAATAATAATTTTGCAGTAAATAGAGTATAACAGCTAGCAGATAGATCATCAAAGACTAATTCCAAAACAAAAGCAATTTCACACAATTAAGGTCTGTGGAAGAGAATCACTCTAATCTCAAATTCTTCATAGGGGCCAAAGATAGAATTAATTAGTGGAGCTTTTGAAGATCAAGCTACCTATCAAAACAAGTTCATGCATTGGAATAATTCCTCTAGCAAGCATAAAGCAACAATACTGGAGAAATGAATGAGTATCTGAACTTGATTGTAAGAAAGATGTACAGTATTTATTTGCAAACACGACAATTACTTCAGAAATAATTATATAGCTCTAAACACATTTCAGACTTACCTTATTTAATTTTATAAAATAGTTCAGTCCAGCTTCCAGGGGATTAGTGTCACAATTCATCTGTTAAAACAAAGTTGCAATATTATATTCATTCACTAAGTCTATCAACCACTAGGTGGCACATTTTCTTTACATCTTTGAATTTCTCTGTTTTTTTCCAATTAGTCTTTTATGTACGGTATGTAAAATCTGTGCTTTCTTAAAGAGATGTAATTCTCACTGTTCTTAATCCAAAATGCAAGTAAACATTTATTCCATTATCTACATTTAAAAGAAAAAGTGAATTTCTATCCAGCAAAGCAAAAATAAGCACAAGCATAGACCACTGGAAGAGATTAGATATTTTAAGGAAGTGTAGTAATAAACTATTTGCTTGCAAATCTACCTCCTTACTCTTTATGTCAGGGAGGCCAAGTTATTAGCAAGTTATTAGCAAGGATGCTTGAACTATTCTTTTCATTTTCAACATGTGGGATGATGGGATGGAATCCTTCAATGGGACTGAATTGGAGATCATCAGACCATTATGCTAAGGAGCAACTTCAATAAAGACTTTCCTTAGAAGATACCCCATAGCAATACCCATTTTTTAACTTTTGCTGAGTTGCATTTTAAAAGATGCTTTGGAAGCTATATGTTCACTCTCTCATGTTGGAAAGTATTGAATTTTATTGAAAGGATTGGAGGAACAAACAATAGATGGGGTAGCTAATCTGTGATATTATGTTAAGCTAAGGTATAATATTAGCATTTATAGAGAGAATTAGGGATGTCACTGCAAGGCTAAAATACATTTAGTGCATATTTTGAGAGATGGAATAGAGACAAATGAAAATCGTACAAATGTCTCAGGCAGTGAAGAAATGAATTAGAAATCCTTTAAAAATGAAAGCAGCACTCCCAGACACAGCTGTAAGCCCCAACTGTTTCCACAGTGCCTATTGTTTCCTCCAAAGATATACTCTTAGCTCTTCAAGCAGCTTGCTAAAATGGAATTGGGCATACATTCCAAACATCCAGGCAACACAAAAAAGTATTTATATTGAAATGGCCCAGGGTTTAATGATCAGACCATGCTCTAGGTAAAAATTCCAGCAAAGCATCCCACTATGATTTCTTACCCGAACAAATTCTGTAGTATATGGAGGAGAAGAATATCTCTGTATTAAAGCGACAGCCTTTGATGTCATAAATGTAATGGGACAGACGGTTTCTTGCAAAATAGAAGAGTTAAACCTAAGAGTAACTTTTTCCTAATTTTGAAATATGTCAAAATAGTTAGAAATCACTACTTATGCTGACAGAATAAAAAAAATAATCCCTAGTTTCAAACCTCTGCTCCCCAGGCTCGAAAACCCTTTTCTAGTCTTAGTGCATTCATTGCATATGTTCCAAAGTTGTCAATTCCTTCTTCATGGCCTGCTTCCATGATGGTGGAATATAAAGCAACAGAATCTTCTTGCCTGTGGTACAATTCCCAGCCCAGTTCACCTATTACAAATCAAATATTAGCATCTTAATTAAATACAAATGTAAACTGTGACCATTAAAATTTAAAAGTTAAACAATGACAGGAACATTTAGGCTGCAATCCTACACACACCTTAGACTAATTGCAATTTTACTTAGCATTACTCACTTCCTAATACACATGTATTTTATTTAGCAGTTTAATAGTAGTTTTCCCACCACTTACCTGTATAAGATATTCTAATTGCTGTTACAGGAATATCAGCAATTTTTAAATCTCTAGATAGCAAAAAACTGAATGCAGCATGACTGAGATCTTCTGTTGTTAACTTCTGAAGAACCTTCCGTGCATATGGACCAGCAATACCCAATACCCCAATTTCTTCTGTAATATTTTTTATCTCTACATTATAGTGTCCTCGAATTGCTTCCATTTCAATCCATCTGAATATAAAAGACAAGACTGTATAAGTCCGAAACAACAAAAAGGGTTTTGAAATTGCTGTATGAGTAATAGTTCTTAGGAATAAAAACAGCTGATGTCTTAAAAGCATTAGAGAGATAAGGTGAGCATCACATAGAGCAACACTCAAAAAACAACTCACCCACTCCCATCTCCAACCTGACAACAATTACCACTAAAACAAAAGTGCCCTGGATCTCTAGGATGAAGTTCATTCTCATTTACTATCTCATCTCCAATTACATTGTTGAAAAACCCCAACATATCAAGAAAAATGCAATATGAAATGCTTAATTAAATATTAAATAATGTACATTTAACTGATTCATTGTTGGAACCAATAATATACTTTCCTCCCATACCTTTTTCTGAGGGTTCGACTTCATTTAACACTGCCAATATTTATAAACCTCCTTTTGCACTCCTATCATATCAATAGACAATATGTCTATTCAATACTATGACCATTTGTTAATTCTACACAAATAAATATCCCATTCTCTAGTATAACATAAGCCTTTATTTTAAGAGCCCTCAATGCAGATGGCACCCAAGAAGCTCTCCAATCCCTGCACCCTTCAACATTTTATTTTTTAATAAAAACCTGGAAAAAATATTGGGATACCAAATTCTCCTTCCTGTTTCTGTATCTACTGCAGATTAGCTGTGGGTAAGAAGGCTTCAAAGTAAAAAGTTGTTTTCTGGCCATACACAATCCTTTACCCACAGAATTTTCTACTTTATTCTCTTTTTCACCCTCCCCACTCTTTTAGCCAATTCCATAACTTTACTAGTTCTCGCCTTTCCCCATCTCTAGCCTTCTTCTATTTCTAGCTTCTAGCCCTGCTTTTTCTCCCTTTGCCTATTTCTAGCCTCACAATTTCTGCCTCCCCCCACCCCACACACACCTCTCTTTAACTCTGTCACTCTGCTAACCTACAGTTGGTCTTTTTTTGTCTTGCTCTTTCACCTTCCTCCCAGGCTCTAAGCCTTGCCATTTCTTTTCCCACCACATTTCTACCTTAATGTTTCTCCCCTCTTCTTGCCTTGCTCTCTCTCTCTCTCTCCACCCCTTTATCTTGCAATTTCCCTCTCCCTTCTAGCTTCAGTATTTTTCTCTCCACCACCACTTCTTCAGCTTGCTTTTACCTAGCCAGGTTGCCAGACCAACCATGATATGACTAGCATAGGGACCGGGTCCACTCTTCCTATAAAAGAGACTTCAAAAGAGTGGAAGTCAGACAAAGAAGAGGGACCAGAAACTGCAGCTGAAATGCCAAGGCTAATGGACCCAGAGCCAGGCAGTCACTGTGAATCAAAAAGTTTCAAATTCAGTGGGAAAATATTAGTAAGCAAGCTGATGGAATAGTACCAGAACTAACATAATTAATCTGAGATTACACTATCAGGCTAAAATGACAGACCAGCTGAGAAGCTCTGGATTTTCCAAGTAATTGGCCCTGGAGCAGGAAGGACTATCTTGAAAGAGTAGTTTTCTCTCTTTAGTTTTGGAAGTTGGGGCAGGTATTCAGTTTGGAATCAATTTCTTATCATTAAACCACATTTGCCTAATGACCAGCATTATAATGTTGCTTGTTATTGACTTCTGCAATACTCTTCTTTTGGACTACAAAACTAGTCTAGCTGGTCAGTTTTAAAATGATACAGGCTTTTAATAAAGAAAACTTTCCCTTCATCTGCTTGGAAAGAGGAGGAGAAGAGCAGACACAACTAGTCACCAGTACTTTTGGAGGCTATTTTGTGGTGGAGCCTGCAGCAGTTTCTTAAATTCTCAAATGTGCCCACATGTCCAAAAAAGGTGGAGATCCCTATTTCAGAGTAACTTCAGTGTACACAGCAGCCATTACTGCCATCTTTGCTCCATGTTACCAGACTAAACCCTTGTAGTATGTCTGTGAGCAGAGGCTTCTGATTTTCCTGAATTGCAGCTCCTCCCTTATTTCTAGCATCACAAGTGGTTTTTAAAACTTTAGTAAATAAATATGTTCACTTACCTCAAGTCATGGAGCTCTGAGCCAGAACCAGTAATTAACATAAATTCTCCAGGCCTCAGATGAGAGACTGTGAGCTCAGCATAAACTCTGCCTTTTGGAGTTAGCAGATGACTAATGTTTGTGAAACCAACCTATATAGATAAATAAGTAAAATTATACTACAATATAATTATTCATAAAAGTTTAATAGAAATTAATATATAGGTTACAATCAGTACAGCTCCAGGATGTGGACAAAGTGTTTGGACAGGTTTGTACAACCAGCTCTGTACTGGATCCGTGCCCCTCCTTGCTTATAAAAGCCAGGAAGGAACAACTGCCTAAGGAGGCCTTTCCTAGCTCTTTGCAAGAGGCAGTGGTGAGACTACTACTCAAGAAATTGTCATTTGACCCAGAAAATTTGAACTACAGGCCTCTCCTAGAAAGGGTAGTTAACAATCAACTCCAGGTACTCTGATTATCTGGATCTATTTCAATCAGGGTTCAGGTCTTGTTTGGGCATGGAAACAACCTTGGTTGCCCTCTATGATGACCTATGCTGGAGCAAGACAAGGGCACTGCAACCCTGTTGATACTTCTGGAACTCTCAGTGGCTTTCAATACTATCAACCATAGTATCCTTCTAGAGCAGCTGGCTGAGAGGAGAGTGGGGGGGGCACTCTGCCTTGGAGGACCATCTCCTGAAGGTGGTGCTTGGGGATTATTCTTCAGCCCTGTGGATTCTCCAACATGGAAATCCTTTCTGTCTCCCATGCATTTCAACATCTACATGAAACAACTGAGTGGAGTCATCCAAGTTTAGCAGTGCATTGTCATCAGAATGCTGATGACAAACATCTCTATTTCTCCTTTTCATCATCAACCCCCAAACTTTGGAACAACCCCTCCTGCTGCAGCCCTCCTGCTGCTGGTTGAAACAGCCCTCTTGGTGGAGGCTTTTAGATATCTCCCTGGTCATCCAGGGGCTTCATGGGTTTATCCACATGCTTTTTTCTCCTCCCTCTTGGCTGGGTCTTTTTCATTGAATTTAATGCATTTTAATGTTATTTTAATTAGATTTAAAATGTTCTAAATGCTGTTTTATGTGTTGTGTATCCTGTTGCATAGGATTATGCCCATATCTGTCCATTTAATTTGGATTGCATTCTCTGCCCAAATACTGGAACATATTTAGTGTTGTAAGCCGCCCCGAGGCTTCGGCGAATGGGGCGGCATAAAAATGTTTTAATAAATAATAATAAATAATAAATAAAATATTTGGAATCAAAATGACTTCCACAAAGACAAGTCCTATCTCACTAACCTATTGCCACTGTTTGAAGGGAGTGCTGGACTGGTTAGAACATTGTTTTAATCCAGCACGGTTCTTATGTTCTTAACACAGGCCTCATACAAACATTCCCAATCCAAGCATGAATATATGAGGCCCATCTGATCCATGCAATTGTTAACACACTTCATTCTGAGGTATGTAGATTCCATAAAATAGACATACATCAGATGGGTCCAAGACTGGGTCACGTGTATGCAGGAAGTGAAGAGAATAAGTTACTTACCACACATAGTGCCAAACTCTCCAAGACATCAATCATTCCAGCCAGGCATGGTCCTCACAGCACAAATCATTTTTTGCTCAGAATTTACTTTGAAGCAGTCAATCATGCAATTTCTAATTATGTAGCTAGTTCATCTTATCTAGTTTCACCCTTAGATTCAACATACTTGAGAGCTCACATGAAGAAGGCTATGAACTTCAGCTCCTTCACAGTTTGTAAAAAGTTAAATCCTATACTATTATAGTTATTACATTTCCATTTACCTTTGGAATTACGTTTGCAAAAAGACGATCCAAAAGTTTAACAGAATCAGTGCCTTTGATGCTAAACTTGCCAAATGGAGTAAGATCAATCACAGCCACTTTTTCCATCACCTGTTTATATTCATGACCCACAGGTTCAAACCAGTTTGTGCGTCGAAAACTAGGCCTAGAAAAAGAATGTTTAGATAATTTTGTAAAAAGCCTGCCTAGCATTTCAATATAGCTTTAAGTAACCAGGTCAACAGGATACAATCTTGAAATTTTGTCCCCTTTCTTTTCCTCCTTCCCACTCCTTTGGGAAATGGATGCTAGGCATACTTAATTTGATAATTTTGTTAATTATTTTCCATTGTGAAACAATACCTAATCTTTGACTTGATTACAAATCCAAATCAAATGCGTTGGGATTTTGTAACAGAAGCAAAATCCTAACTAACCTGTCTTCTGAAGTTCAGAATCTCAGAACATTTTTTTCTGCTGGATCAGTGAATGATCAATGTTGTCATTTATTGCTTTGCATTTTATTTTGATCTATTATTATTAACATTTCTGTACCACCCATAGCTGGTGCTCTCTGGGTGGTTCACAACAGGATATAAAAACAACAAAGTACAATACATAAAACAGCATTTAAAACATTTAACAATTAATTCAAATAGCATTAAAATACATTAAATACAATGAAAAAGACCCAGCCAAGAGGGAGGAAAAAAGTTGCCTAGATAAATCCTTGAGGCCCCTGGATGACCAGGGAGATTTTTTTTTAAAGGCCTCCACAAAGAAGGCTTTCTTAATCTGGTGCCAAAAAGATGGCATATTTGGTATTAGATGGTCCAAGTTTGGTTTGCAGCCTGACACACACTTGAAAATCCTGAAGCCTGAACAGGTTATATTTGAATTTGACATTTAAAAAAAAAGGATCATAGAAAAACATTTACCACATTTTCATCAGATCTAGATTGCCATAGGTTCTGTTCTGAACAATAAAAATCAAATCTCATAAGCACTCATAAGTGAAACAGGATTATCAGAATGTTCTGCCTCCCACCACAAAGCTTATGTTTGCACATCTGCATTTTGCTTGCACATATAGAAATTGTAGGGATGGACAGCAATGAAGGAAGTAAAAAGGATCATCAAGTATAAGGATGTTTCACTAGAGACCAAGGGAAAGATCATCCACACTACTGCATTCCCAATCACAATGTATGGGTGCAAAAGCTAGACCGTGAAGAAAGCTGCCAAGAAGGAAACTGAGGCATTTGAAACATGGTGCTGGAGGAGAGCTCTGAAAATACCCTGGACCAATAGAAAGGCAAACAAGTGGGTCCTAGATCAAATCAAGACAGCTTTCCCCAGAGGCAAAAATGATAAAACTGAGGCTGTCATACTTTGGGCACATCATCAGAAGACAAAACTCCCTTGCGGGGAGGAATCATTCTAGGAAAAGTTGAACATAGAAAAGAAAAGCAAGACCAAATAAGAGATAGATTGACTCCATAAAGGAAGCCATAGCCTTGAATTTATAGCTGCTGAGCAGGGCTGCCATTGATAGGACATTTTGGGGGGCGGTCATACATATGGATGCCATAAGTTAAAGACAACTTGAAGGCAAAGAACAAAAACAGCCTTGTAGGAATGGATGGTGACCTTGTTTTTTTCAAGTTCACCAACCTCACACATGAGCTTATGTATAGCTATTTTCTACATACATAGGCACATTGCAGATATGTAAAGTTATGCAGGTATGATAAGGGCAGGGCTTGCTGTCAATAACGTTCTTCATTTCATTTGAAGGTCCAAACAGCACTATAATGTTTCAGAGTATAATTGCAGAAAGTCTGCAACATGAGGAACAGTGTTTATCTGCTCAGTTTCCATGTTAGGAGGTGGAAAACAAAGGGGGAATAAGAATTGAGTCTTCCACTTCAGGAAACTTCTAGTGAAAAGCAGTGACTTGCTTATCTGAAAGTAAGGTTAAACCACTTTTTGTTTTGCTTAACTATTTTTTACACAACTGCACCTACCTCAGCCAATTTGACTTGTCACAGTTTGTTGCTATGTATGAATATATTACGCTGCTCTATAATGGCACCCCATATGCCACATGAAGCATAAGACATGTGTGGTTAGTTCTCCCTCCTCCCTCTGGCTAGCAATAGGTTTCATTCCCCACATACCTCCTGCCTGACAAGGCCTTCCTCTCCCACTCATCAATCTTTCAGCAGTTTTGTAGGGAGAAAAAAAATTAAAAGAATCATGAGCCATTTTACTGATATCTGTCCAAGAACACATGCTGAAAACATAACTTTGCTCTTAGCAACCTATCTCTATTTTAAATTGATACAATCTCACAAAAATCCTCTCAGAAGAGGAAGTATACAATACTAACCTTTTCTATTTAAGAGCTTTCTGAAAACTAGGTCTGAGGGAAACTAGGTTCAAATTCCTACTCAGCCATGAAGCTCACTAGGTGTCGTTAAGACCAGTCACTGTCTTTCCACCTAACCTGTTTCAAAGGGGTTGATATGAGGATAAATGGGGAGAGACACCATATATGCCACTCTGAGCTCCTTGAAAGAATGCAGGATATAAAAAAATACCAAGTAAAGAAACGCACAGCTATTAGAATTGCCTAAAATATATGAATTAAAAGCTGCACAACAAAAAGGATGAACTTTTAATGAAAAAATCCATTATCTGACATATATTAACACCAATTTAGCACACTAAATAAATATGTAACTTTCATTTACTTGTATCCAATCTCATCCCCAGGTCTGTAGAACCAATGAGGTTGCTCCCATCCTGCATGGAATCCCATGGAGCATTTAGATTTAAGGATGTCATAAAGCCCACTAACTCTTTCTGTTGGTCTCCCAGCAAATCTTTCTTCTTTAGGATAAAGAACTACAAAGGTTAAAAAAAGAATACACATGAAAAGGAATCACTTACTGCAAATGTACATATAATTATTTTTCATGTGCCTCCAAATAAGCCTTCCAAACAGTAAATCTTTGGATGTTGTAAAGCATCGTAACAGTGGATGTAAAATAAGAAAGGTGGCGTTTTTTATGCACTATGTATAGTGTAAATTAACTCAGAACACTCCAAGGGAAGGTGTAACTAAGCCCTGGTCTCCATTAATCCAGAAAAAGAAAACAAGGTAAAAAAAATCCAATCTTTGCTGTACTGTATTAATTTTTATATTTTCATATGGGAAAAGTGATAAGCGACCATCTTACCAATATTGTTAAATCCATAAGATTCCCTTGCTTTTGCTTTTGTGTATTCCATAGTTGTCCATTTTCCGTATCTATTTGGATCTAATTCTAGTAGATCAAAAGGAGGCTCCCCACTGAGCATCCAGTCACTGAGATACTTTCCTATGCCACCAGCATGTATGATACCATATCTGAAAGAAAAAAGAGATAACTAGTTCCCTCAAATTTATTTCAGATACTATTTTAGCAAAGGCCTTTGGGCTCATAAACTCAGTTCCTACTATTTTTTCTTACTATTTTGTTAATTGGCAAATTAATCCAGTTGAATATGTAGCAGCCTAATTCAGGGACAGTGAAAGGCTCAGCAAACCAGAGAAAGTCAGCCAGAAAATTACAATTGGATTCAAAAACTGGGCATTATTCCCAAACAAGGCCACTGGTTTGTAATATGTATTTGTATTCTGGTCTGCTTCATGGATGACAAAATCTACAAAGAAATGAAATTGAAAACATCATGGGTCATATGTGACAAAACACCTATGTGTCTTTGTCACTATGGGTTAATTCAATTGGAAAATGCAATTAACTGCACATTCCAATTACATATACACGTGATGAATAGACACATGCATATGCCTGACATGCTCAATACCTGCAATTACTGGATACCTGCAACTGGATACTGCATATACCTGCAATTTCCAAAGAAGTGCTTTCTGTGCAGCAAATGCATCTTGCACTGAGCAGTCTTCACATGATGGACCCTGGGGACTCACTATCTACCTCTCTGTTTTAGCTCTGTAAAATGGGGAGCACAATGATCCCATATAATTGCCATAAATTTGGATGAACATTTAAAATAGCTGTTCTGATTCATACTGGCAGACATATGTTTTATTTCATTTTATAGATTTTAATTAATTGATCTGTTGCAACAAATGGGACGACTGTGAGCAAAAAATGCTAGAAATTAATATTTCTATTAATGCTTTACTTGGTACAATTATTTATTTCATACGAGTAGAAACAAAACAGGGTATTGCCTTGCAGTAATGAACAGATTACTGTTAATGTAACAGATACTGCTGTCGAGAAGAGTATTGGAAGTTTGAGTAGGTGCTGGCTCCTAAGCCAGTCGAGTTTGTCATTCATTGCAGTTTTTATTCAGCTTTGCAGGAGTTATTTATGGTGCTTCATGGTACTGAACCTATTTTGGAGGTGCGATTCAGCACCACAGATGGCACCTATAAACTTCAGAATGCAGTCTGCAATGGTTAAGGAGCCTCACTGACACAGGAGTCACCAGCCCCAATAGGAACCTTTTTTTCCAATGTTTAATGAAGTCAATAGAACAGCTGCCATTTGCTACCACAACAGCATTGTGGTCAAAGTACCAGTAGGACATCTTCTGAAGCCTGAAGGACTATTTGATAAAGAATTTAAATGTAATATTTCAAATACCTTCATACTGAAACAATTTAAAATTGATTTAAAATGAATGTAGTATGAAATTATTCATATTTCTCTCCCGTAGTTCCCCCCCCCCCCAACAGCTAATGTATAGAGATGTGCTACCTCTAATTCTGGAGGCAATATATAACCCTAACTGATTTCTTTATCCTCCATGCATTTGTCAAATCACCTTTCAAATCCATCCAAGCTTATGGTTCTCATCATATCTTGTGGTACAAAATTCCCTAATTTAACTGTGTGCTGCTGAAGAAGTACTCTCTTTGGTCTGTCTGACTTTTCCACCATACACCTTTATTAGATGACCCTGGGTTCTAGCATTATGAGGGAGAAAAACTTCTCATTATCCATTTTCTTCAATTATATAAACTTCCATCATGTTACTCCTCACTTGTCTGTTTTGTACTCAAAAACAAACAACACCCCCCACAAACATTTGTAATTTTTCCTCATAGTGAGTTAATCTATTCCTCCAATAAGTTCAGTTGCCTTTTTATGATTTTCTTTCTAATTACACACAACAGTCAGACACTGAGAAACAGTGAGTGTATATTGGCACCACAAAGGAATTTATGATGGCAATTTTATTTTTGACCTTTTTCCCTAATGATTCCTAGCATGGATTTTTTCATTTTCATAGAGGCTGTCCACTGTGTTGAAATCTTCATTGACCTATCCACCACAATCACAAAATTGCTTTCTTGACCAGTCACCAGTGGCTCAGAAGCCAGTAATTATGTGTAGACAAGGTTCCCCCCACCAAAAAAAAATGCACGTGTTGTTTTATTGCCTATTCAAGTTTGGAGAGATTCTTTTGGCTCTTTCACAATCTCTTTGTTTTTACAACCTAGAGTAATTTGGTATTAGTAAAACAGACTACCTCAGTGCTCAACCTTAACTCTGGATCATTTAGGACTAAGTTAAAAAGCATCGGCCCAAATATAGATCACTGGGGGACCTCACTCCTTACATCCTTCTATAATGTGAACTGCCCATTATTCCAATCTCAGCTTCCTGTTATTTCATAGATTATTGGTCCATAAGAGGATCTGTTATCTTATCTCATGACTGCTAAGTTTGCACAGGAGCCATTAGTCAAGGACCTTGTCAAACATTTTTGAAAGACACAAGGAGCTTCTCTAACATTAGATATATAATCCAGCGCTTTACCAAGGTTTCTTCTTCTATTTTCTTTGTGAGAGGATTAGCGTGTCCTTCACATAATTCCCCCCTTTCCAGAATGTCCCTCTCTGCCTTCCTGTATGTTCCTCTCTGTCCCAACACCCATGAAAGGTGGTGCTGCAGCAAAGAGCAAAATTGCAAAAGTACACTCGGCTTCTGTAGCAAGTAATGATACCATCAAGGAAAATACTAGACTTTCCCTGCTCTTTTAAAAAAAAACCTGCAAAAATGGCCAGAAAAGTGAAGAGATTCTGAAGGGTGACAACTTCATGAAAAGGTCCCACTGACTTCTATGATCAAGCAAGCACTATAAAGGCCTCATGTTAGAAGCCCAATGCCTTGCAGGATCGCCCCTAACCATACATATGTTGGCACTCTCAAAGGAAAAGTAAATGAGACAGGACTTACCTTTGAAGAAGGACTTACCTTTGAAGAAGACTTTTTCTACATTCTCAATAATTTTAGTTTTACTAATGCTTTCTAGAATTTACTCAGTACAGAAACTTTAAGTAATTCCCGGATCCTTCCTTTGGTTCTTTTTTAAGAAGTTAATGTTACACTGACAGTCCTCTGATACAGCAACCAATTTTAGAGATAATATGTATATTTTTCTTTTAATAAACAGTAATTTCATGTCTGAATTCTTTAAAAACCATCAGTTGAATACATTTGAACCAGGTTTATTTGAAATACACACTAGAACTTTATTTCTTGTCACCACTACTCGCTTCGGTTTTTCTTCCTGAAAAAGTCAGTCCAGGCATAGATATCTGGCCCACATCTTCCACAGCAGAAAGACAGCGATTTAATTTTAACAAAGTTTCTCATAATGTTTGATAGACAAAAATTGTACTTTAGACTTAATTTACTTACCCAAAACCAATAGCCACCCAGTAATTTTGAATACCCTGATGTGGTCCCACCATAGGCAAAATATCTGGAGAATATGTTATAGGACCTGCAACTACATTGATTATGTCTGCTTGTTTCAAGACTGGGACTGTTTCCATAGCAGCCTCAACATGTTCCATTATTCGGTCCAAATCTGACTCAAAAAGCTCCTTCCCAAAACCTAGAAAAATGTTTCATTTGTTATATATTTGTTAACTTTACGTATTAAAATCTTTATATAGATAGCAAAATGAGCTATTCCTTCTCTCAGTACACCCAAATATTACAGGATAGGAACTGCATGGAAAAACAATCGAATTATTTAGGACATTTGTGAAAAGATACTAAAAAGGAGATTTGCCTTTAATAACATGCACATTGTAGAATCACTGTCAACCACAGTGTACAATTAATATGCAGCATCTTATTTGACTAGTCTGAAAAAATAGAGCAAAATTACCTTGTGGGACTCCATGTGTTACCCAGGATTCCTGTAGTTTCATTTTTTCTTCATTTTCATATGGGCCAAATAAAAGCCCATCTCTTTCTTGTCTCAAATAATATGAACCTTCCAAGTCTCGAAGCACAGGCAATTCCTTCTTCAGGTCCTTAACTTCTGGGATAGTTGCAGTAACAACATATTGGTGATGAACTGGTATTAGTGGATGATGAAGTCCCACCATTTTGCCTATTTCACGAGCCCAGAAACCTAGAAAACACCATGGACAGAAATGAGAATATTTGAATAGCTGAGCAATTGGAAACTAAAGGCACAATCTTTTTTGAATAAACAAGATAGTGTAGGGTTTTGAAATAGAACAGGTCTGTGCCACCTCCCCTACTGCTCCAGAGGCTCCCTACCTTGCTAAGCTGCCCATTCTTCCAGTGCAGGGGTGAGCAGTGTGAGAGAGCTTGGGGTCCAATTTCCATACTCAGAACACACCAGGGAGCACATCTTCCACCACCCTGCAAATGCTACTTCCATACTACCACTGAATTTCAGGAGCAATGCAGATGAGAGGGGGGAAATCAGTCTAAAATTAGGTATGCAATGTGTACCTTGTTTCAATTAAAATCAATCTCCTAAAGCCTCATACAAATGTGGTTTTGTACAAAAATAAGATGTGTGAAATATGTACCTTGTTTTAAAACAAAAATGTGGGGTTTTTTCCAGCCAGAAATACATACTGCTGAAATTTGGCAGCAACTCACCAGCATGGAAGTGGTCACGGTGGGACTACAAAATAATGGAGGGCTACATTATTGCCTAACCCTACTCTAGTGGAACTCTGCTAGGTGAAAGTCTGGATGCAACCCTTGTACTCATTTGCTTATTCCACAAAGGTTGACAGAAATATCTGAATGCAATATGTAATTGCTTTATATGTTGTATAAGAGTAATCTCTCTGTAAAAAACCTGTAATTTATGAAGTAGCTTCCACATCTCAATTTGCCTGAATTTGCCTGAAGTGTGATACACTTTGCACTTTTCTAATGCAATTTGAGATATTAGGACTTCATTTCTAAATACTCTTATTATAAATTAAGTGTCTGTGAACACACTGAAACTTAAGATTAGCATGCCCAGAATTGTGTTGCGCATCTCTAGATATATATTTTTGCATACACTGCCAAATTCTAGACTTAAGTGGGTTCACTAAGACTGAATAAGACAGGCCAACAATGAATTTAGGATGCTGCAGTTAAACTGATTTTTAAAAATCTAAAACACATTCGTAGCCTAGTAGTTTATTGGCAAATAATAGGAAACCAAAAGGGTTTAGCATTTTGAGAACTAAAGATTAGGTCTCTTTGTAGCAACCACTTGCCTCTAATGTATTAACTTTGATAATTAGAACTATAGCCTGGTTTTGAAAAGTGTGCAAGACTCTAGAACATGAAAATCTACCTTATACTGAATTAGGCCATTATTCACTCAGCTCAGTCTTATCAATGCTGACAATGCTGCAATACCTCTCCAGCATTTCAAACAGAGCTTTGCTTTTTTCTGCCTTAGCTGGAGATGCCAGAAACTGAACCTGAGACCTTATGCATGTACAGCATTTGTTCCACTACTGAGCTTTAACACAAGCCAGAGTTCCACATGGAGGATTAAAGTGAACAGTCGAAGCAGACTCTAAATTGTAATTAAGTTATGTGCACCACAAATAATGGGCTGAGGCAGTTGCATCGCTGTTATTGTTATCCTCTTTATTTCTGACCCACCTTGTAATCAGAGTATTTTATTACTGAGTTCTGAAGCTGCAACATCTCAGGATTTTTTGCATTTCTGTCATTAACTTATTAAACCAAGGTCAGACTTGTATAGTTTCAATGTTCAACCAAAGGGAACATTTAGACTTGGTATTGATTAATGCCCTGGGTCATTGAAGGTAAATACAACCATGAGGAGAATGTGTTCCTCTTGCAGCCAATCTCCTTTCTTCCTTTCCTATCCTCCTCTTCAAAATAAATAATTCACTGTGTGCTTTCATACCAGTCTTATTGTGCTAAGTCCATATTGCTAATTCAAAGCACAGTAGGTTTGTTAGAAAGTGGCTTACCTTTCTCCCTCACCCCCATTGCTCAATTCATGAAGATCGGCAATGTTTGTCCTGCTGGTTCATGTGCTTACCACCACCATCACCACCATCACCACGTTTTTCACAGATTGCCTCTTTCTTTTCCTGGCTTGCAGTCCAACCCAACTAATTACGTTTTGTGCCAACCAATATACTCAGGTAAGATCTATTGTTGAGCACAAAAGACAGTCTTTCCTGTAGTGTTCTCATCCTTATGAAATGCCCTTCAATGGGAAATATACTGAGCTCCTCCATGACTATTTCTAAACAGACTTTAGAGGCTTCAGTCTACTTTTATTTGAAGCTGGGCTATATTAGGGATCTTCATACATCAGCTACTTTTATTCTTTTTTTTAATTAACATGGTCTTGTAATGTTGCTGTTTTAGTTAATTTTCCCTCTCTGCATCAAGTTTTATTTTGTAAATCACCTGGTTTCAACCTTTAAATGAAATACAAAAATTTTTAAATAAATAAGTATCTCGAAATCAAAATGCATACATCTTTGTGACCAAAAAAGCTGATTCAGGAAATCATAGAATGTTTCAATCATACAATGATACCTATAAAAAACTCCTTAACTTATCTACTGCTTCCCCCTAATTTCCATTAGTTTACTATTTATTTAACCAAGCTATTTCTTCTGCTTTCCTACAGAGCACCCAATCAGACCTATGGATGTAAGATTTTCCAATTAACGTAGAAACATAGAAACAGAGCGAGTCAGACAGGGTCTCCTGGTCCATCTAGTCTGACCCTTGGCTCCAGCGGGCTCCGCTCATGACATGCCCACCATGTGCATGTCTAGCCTATCTTTGAACACCCTCACTGATGGGGCCTCAACCACCTCCCTTGGAAGTCCATTCCACACCCTCGGGGTCCTAACTGTCAGGAAGTGCTTCCTGGCATCTAAATAGAACCTTGGTTCCCCGCGCTTTGCTTAACTATTAGGGTTTCCCTCCTGCAGGCTTTTATTGGTATCAGCTGGGTGCTCAGCACTAGACAGCTGCAGCCAAGGTATAACCATAATGGTCAAGGACCTCTCAAGTCACTACTATCATCCTAAAGGATAATTAAAGAAGGAGAACTAGGAGAAAATTACTGCCCCCTTCCTCCAGAAAGGTGTATTCCAGTTTTCTTTGTGAATGGAAAGAGCCCTTCTGTTCATGGAGTGACAAATATGAATCCAATCCAATAAAAACCTGAGACAGAAAAAAGAAGGAAGGTAGGAAGGAAAGGCATAGTGTTAGATGATAAGATGAAAACAAGAAAATGAACAAGGTTCTGAGAGAGGAAAGAAAGGGGAATTTCCATAAATATGTGAAACCCTTAATCAAAGGAAACTTGAAAAATGCACACATGCTGACTATCAAGTTACTGTGCTGTTTTACACCACCACTTTACTATTTTATTAATAAAAACATAAAGCATTTTTAAAGAACTACTATATACTATTTCTTAAAAACTGAGCTATATCCAGCAGTGAAAAGGAAACACATACATTCACTCACATAGAGTATTTTAATCTTGTAAGTGTTCCTAAAGTGCAAGCCTTAGAATGCCAAGTATTTTTCACAGTTCCCGGATATCTGAGACTAGAATTGCACAAGGGTACTACTCATTTATTTCTAATTTTAAAGTGAAAGGTCAAAATTCTAGTTCTAAACTAATTTGATTGAAGTCAGAGCCAATGATTTATGTGATGACATTTTAAAGAACACAGTATTAATAAGACATTGTACTTATTATCCTAGTAAACATTGAAATATGTTATTCTACCATTCCACAAACTGTCCTGCTATGTTTCATGGGATCATCAGCTAACATAATGGAAAGCATGGATTATCTGTTTTCTACAACTTATTAATTATAAGGTTACTATCTGTGTTTATCATGAACTACCTAATCTTGTATGGCTGAGGGGTACTGTTAAACTTCCAAAAGTATAAAAACATCTTGCATTTCTTACCAGCTGCATTTACAACTCTGTTTGCTCGAATTATTCCATGTGGAGTTTCAACTTCCCATGTTCCATCTGATCTAGATTTCAGATTAGTAACTTGAACTGGATAATTTAACTGAGCACCGTATTTCCTGGCCCCTGCAGCCAATGCCATAGTGAGTGAGTATGGGTCAATATGACCATCTCCAGGATTGTATAGACCAGCTAATACCTAAGTAGTCAAACAGATGAAATTGCATTGATTTTGCCATATATTTTTACAATCAGTATGTGAGAAATAAGGAAGTTTTACTGGGAATAGAACTAGGCTACTGTAATTTTTAAAAATACAGAACCTGGTGACAGAGAACAATTGTCTAAAGAGTTCAAAATAAATGCAAATGAACAGATATTACATGGAATTACAAATTCAATTGATGTTATGAAGAGCTGCAATCATGCCTCCTTAAAAATAGTGAGTGTTTTGCCACTAATTAAGTGGGAGCAGAATTACAACAAATTTATTTGGTTAACACCTTTGTTTCCTCAATGGAGTTCAAGTTGGCAGTATAAGCAGGTTGCTTACCTGTAACTGATGTTCGAGTGGCCATCTGTGCAATCACACATATGGGTGCTGCGCCTGCACAGTGCCTTTGGCCAGAAGATATGTGTGATGCACAGAGGCCACGACGAAGAAATATAGTTATGCACTAAAAACCAGTTACATTTCCCCCAACTTCCCTAAGTGTTGAGATGTTCTAGTAGGGTTTTTATTTATTTTTTTTGAGAGAAGTCACTGGAGATTTATGGCAAGGAACCTCCAGCCCACAAGTCAAATCTGGCCCACAGAGTGCCTCATTGCACGAGACCCCTCACCCTATGAGGGGTGCTGTGTCACAGCATCAAGGAACACTTAAGGCCACTGTTCAGTCTGGTTCATTCTTCAGTCTGCTTCATTCTTCCTTTACTGTGCACTGGAGGAGACATCCTGAGGCAACATCCGAGTCTCAACCCACATTCACATCCCTGCTTCTCTTTGCTAACTGAGAAAGCAGCAAGTTACAGATTCAGCCAGCACCTGGGGGAACAGCCCAAAGATGAGAGTGGGGGTGAAGCCAGCTCCCTGCCTCACCCTGCATGGAGAATGCCGGGAGATGAAAGGAAGGGATCTGGGATAGGTCCATCCCTATCATCAACTCACTGGTTCCAGTTCCCCACCCACAAATCTATGGTGTTTTGTTTCAGGTTTAAAACTTTCATGTTCATTAAGCTATGATACTGACACACATTCTCTATGATACTGACACACATTACAGATTTCATACCTTCTATAAATAAAATAATTGCATTTGTTTACCTTTTCCATGTTTAATAAAGGGAATAATTCTTGCACTTTCTCTGGCTCAATAAGATATTGCTCTGTGGGATGCCAACCAGTTCGAGTCATTTGGTATTTAAATTCATCCACTCTAACTGGGGTTGAAGCAATTCTAATACTCCCTGGTTGATGAAACCCTACAGCCTAATAGAAATATTAAACATATTACCAGGTTGAACATGTATAAGCCTAAATTCAAAATTAGACATGTGTTAGCATGCTTAAGCCCACTGAATTCAAGCATGCCTATTTCTGCATTTGATTGAGACTACAGAATATTTATGTGTAGTCTAACAAAGCACTAAATAATCATGACAAACCATACCTTTAAAACAAACTATGAAATAAATAGTTGCTATGTTACCATGAAATTAGTAAGTTTCTGGTTCTTTGAAATGGAACAAAAATAGTAACCAACACTATAAAATGTAACTCAAAGCTTTCTGTGCACTCCTTATAATTCAGTATGTCCTCTCTCTTCAACAGTGCTTCTATGACATTCCACTGTTTTAATTTGCACTTAATTTCTGCATTTAATGTTTAAAAAGTATGCTTTATGATCAGTGGTGATCAATGGTCCTTCTGTGGATATATGCTTTGATGTTCAAATAATTTTTAATCTACTGAAGAGTTTAAAATTCTTCAGCTATCAAGTATTAAAATGTGTATCTCAAACCCATCCTTTAAAAAAAATTTGGAGAGGGTATACTCTTCTTAGCGTATAAAATTCAATGTCGTAAACTCATAGATGACAATGTTCTCCATTTTTGACTGCTTCTCAAAAAAAGAAAAAAGAAACAATGACCTCTGGCTACCATTAGAGACCCAACAGGTTGAGGTTAGCAAAATTTCCTGATGACGCCAATGCTCATTTGATCTCTCATTTCATTTCACAAAATGTGGTAACTGCAGTGAACTTTGATACATTTGCCAGATCTATTTACTTTTTTGTTCTCCCTCAAGGATTTTATCAACTTTATATATGGCATTTGCACACTAGTTTGAATTAATTATTAAACAAAGTGTGATGTTGCTAAATTGATTCAGAATGAATTAACATGTAATAGAATAGCCACAAGGTTTGTTGTGGATATAGATCCTATATTACAGGAGTGTGCTTTCATGTAAAAGTTTAAAACCCCAAGACAGCTTGTAGAAATGGAAACATAGTTAAAGTAGTGCAAGAGGCAGGTTCAAAAAAGACAAGCTGTTCTTAGATTGCTATCTAAGATCATCCAAATGATCCAGTCACATAAATTGTTCTGGATCTGTGTAGCATATCTTACTTTACAAAGCTAATATGGATTCGTAATCAATATTCGAAGTTACTACCTGCCCAGTCTCTTCTTCTAATTTTTCATAAAGCTTGATGCTGTAATAATGGATTTTCTTCAGATTTATTCCAGGATGAAAATACGTTGTCAACCCCGCCTTAAAAAAAGAAACAACAACAACAAAGATACTATATTTTGGAAAATGCAGTTTAGTTTTTCTACGACCCATCTAAGTCAGATTACAGGGTATTTCTGACAAACAGTTGCTACAAAAACAATGAGACTAATTTGAGAGATTAAGTCAGTTGAAATGAGATCCCTTTAAAATCAATGTGAATAGTTAGTTATGACTAATTCATGTTCCACACATTTCAGCTGGACCTAAGAACAACTATCTTAGAAGTTTTAATACACTTAGTGTTAGTTGATTAGAGCCACCTTCGACAAATGTATGAAGTGTTACAGTCAGGTTGATATACAAGTGCAAACAATAGGACTGAATGTAATAGGCAGCTTATAGTCTGTGACAGTTCTATTTAGAGCTACAATATATTCAAGAAAAGAGGCTTGAAAATATATAGAAACACTATATAGAAATATATAGAAACACACACACACACACACACACATATATGAAGAAAAATATATTTTTAGCCACACCACAGTAATTTACGTGCTAAAGGTCTCTTTACTAACTTAGATTGTTGGGATTATAAACAAAGACATTGCAATATCTCTGGTAATATGTTTGGTTTTACTGAAAGAGAACCAGTTTTCCAGTATTGCCACTGTGATCCATGTGCTGGTAACCTCTTGCCTGGATTACCGTAAAGCACTCTAGATGGGGCTGCCTTTGAAAAAAGTCCAGACACTAACACCTAATACAGAACAGGGAAGTGCAGTGCTTATGAGGACTGGCTGGCAAGAACATACTACACCAGACCTCCATCAGCTGCACTGACTTCCTGTTTCAGTCAAGGCCTAATTCAAATTGTTGTCTTTGACATATAGAGCCCTAAACAGTCAGGAACAGGGTACCTGAGGGAGCACCTCTCTACATATATTCCTATCCACCCACTTAGATCTTCCTCTGAAGTCCTCCTCTGATAATCAAACCCCAATGGGAATAAGGGGGAAAGGGCTAGGAGGGGATGCATTTTCAGCAGTAACTCTCAGACTTTGGAATTAGCTCCCCAGGGACATAAGGCTGGCATCGACTCTGCTTTCCTGTAGAAGCCAGGTAAAAACTTTTTTTTCAAACAAAATTTTGGTCAATTTAATTTACTTAATTTATAATTTGTATTTTGTGTTTATTGGTTTAATTTTGGCTGTTAATTTATTGGTTGTATATTGTCGTGCTGTGTTTGGTTTTATAATTTTATTATGCGAGATGATTAAAACCTATTTATTTTACTGTTTTTATCCATTTTATTGATTGTATTTAAATGCTGTTGTCAGCATTTGTAAGTGACCCAGAGACCCTTCAGGTTATGGAATAAAATGAATAAATAAATGTTCTTCTTCCTCAGGTTGTTTTCACTTTTCACTATTGTTATTATTTATTATTACACTGAATTTATATCCTCTTTTGACAAACCCAAAGGGGCTTACAAACTCCATTTTATCCTCATAACAGCAACACTCTATGGTAGGCTGAGCTGAGATTGACCCAAAGTCACCCAGACAGCTTCATGGCCAAGTGGAGATGAGAACCCGGATCTCCTAGGGCTACAGTCCAACAGTCTAACCAGCACACCACATTAGCTCTCAATTTGTCACAATACTCATTTTACTGTGCTTCTAAATATCCTTTATATTCTGTTATTTTCTCCATAAGAATCTTGGAGTTGAATTAAATGTTGGCAAGCAGTTAATCTTAGTAAGCAACAGCATACATTTTAGGACTTCTGCACTTCCCACTGCACTTGTCTAATGCAATCTTTCATTGCTAATCTATTGTTTTATGTACAGTCTTGCTTAAATGAGGGTGAAATAATTTTTGTACTAATATATTGTGCAAATTCAGGAAGCTTGGTTTACACTTTGTTTAATAACCTGATCCATTTCTTTGGCTAGACATATGAATGGAAGTAAATGATATATAAGTCTATTTGTTCTAGTCCATTTTAGCTAATCACCATGCTGTATCAATACAGCTACTAAACTCCTAAGTGACAACCCTGAAAAAAACACTAAATAAACCATAGTTAGGCTGAAGAATCAGTTCAGTGGCGAAGTATATGTTTTCCATGCAGAAGTTCTAAGGTTTAACCACAAGAGTCTCCCATTAAAGAGCTCTGGTAAACACAGTGGGGAGCTGCTAGCTAGATAGTCTGGTATAAGGCAGCTTCCTATGTTCCTCTGATAGCACACCTGAAATATGCAATGCCTTGTATGACTCACAAGGAAAAAAAATGGAAATGTAGCATAATATACTATTCACTTATCTCTAACATGTGTACATATAAGCATTTTTCCCTATTCAATTATTGCTGCTGTACTTCTTGTTTCTTTCTATTTCAGCCATGCTTCCCTCTGCCTCCACTTCTATGGTAGAAGTCTGGCACCAAGAACAGAATCTGTTCCTGCAGGAATATTATTGCTCATTTACACAACTGGCACAACTATAGGTTTTTCCAGACAGAATGCAGTTCACACAAATGTAAGGAAATGAGCCCTATGATCACATGCTCTGTCCCCCTCACATCTTCTCCCCATCTCCTTGTTCATGTCACAAATTATTTCATGATTTATGCCAAGCCATTGCACTTAAACTGCTAAACTATGGTTTACATTTGTTCTGCATATATGATTGTAAACCATGATCACAACAAGCAGCCCAAATGAAGAGTTTGTGGGAAACAGTATGCATGGACTCTCCAAGCATGGTAGGGGAGATGCAGGAAGTGGAACAGCTGCTCAACAATTGCCTGTGCAAGATTTTATTTATTTCCATATTTATACATCATTAAACTAGTGTGATAAAACTCAGGCACAAAGCCGCTATACCGATCCTTTGGTTTTTATCACTTTCTTTTCTGGAGGGCAAGCCATCCCTGGTGGAATCCAGTGCATCACAGGTTGTACTGGGGAGCCTAGCAAGCCATAGTAGGTCTGTGGGCTGAGGGTTCTGCACCTCTATGCTACAGGAAGGATCAGGATAGATTGGTTGCTTGAAGGAAAAAAAGAATTAAGGAATTATTTTGGAAAAGTACTAGCTGGAATATTGAGGAATGGTTAGGCATTGTAGTTTGGACTGGAATCAGAATGTGTTTGTTTGTTTGATTGATTGATTGATATGCTGCCCCATTAGCCATAGGCTCTCTGGACAGCTTACATCTTCATAAATTCCATGTATTGCATAACAACAATATAATATACAGCAAATTGCATTGTATACAAAATATACCATGTATTTCTTTCTCTCTCTCTCTTATGGAATAGTTCACTGTACATTAATAGGTTACTCACAACAATGTATGTGCATAAATCCACAAACACATACAGAGAGAAACTTCAAAACTACCAAAACCCACATTTACAACAAAAGAAATCTCTGCAAGACAGGGCAGTGAAATACTAATAGCAACCACAATCTTCTATTGCTAATACATAAATTGTTGATTACTTTCACAGTACCAATAGAAAACAGTGCAGAACATACTTCAGAATAAGACCTAATGTAGAAAATGAAGCTTAAAATGGGGCAAGGGAGCAGGGTAATGGGAAGCGGCATTGCCTAAACAGCTAATTTCTAAAGACAAATAGACTAAGCTAACACCCACAGACAGCAGGAAGAATAACTGAAACTTGAGGCTCAGAGGATGTGAATGAAATTAATGAATGGACTGTATCTGGAATAGAAAAAGGAAGGTTTAGGGCAGGGAAGCTGGAATAAAATTGATTGGCTTAAGAAGGAAAATTGAAGGATAAAGTAATCAGGAACACAAGCCACAGTGTGATCAGCCTCTCTCACACACACCAAGGTTTGTCTTCAAAAATCTCAAGTGGCCTGATTTGACTCAGAATTTAGCCATATTTGATACATAAACTTAACAATTACAGCATGATCTGTAGTACTGAATATTTCCAAGCATGGATCCTAGGAAGCCTACTAACATAAGAATGACGCCTTCAGTCTTCCTCAGTGCTAATTTCCTCATTTGACAAGTTTGGGAAAACATTTCTGTCAAATACACAATTTGGTGGAAAACTCCCCTAGATTTGTGGAGATTCAGGTATTACCAAAGAAATCTTTGAGCTTTCTCTGAGTGTTCTCCATGAAGCTTGGAACAAAACAGGAAAGTATGAGGCCAGTTCATTAATCACCATTCCTGTTCCCACCCATCCAGCTCAAGGGTAAGTCTACAAGTGCTCTGTTAATCACTTAACAATGCAACCTTACTTATGTTCTCATAGGTCTCAGAGTTCAATTCTCCTTTCTCCAAGGTAAATGTATATAAGATTACATCATAAAGTTAAAGAACAGTGTTTTAAACTTTTAAACAGTGTTTTTTAAGTGTCTTAAACCCTTCAACCCCTAAAACATTAGTTTTATCTGAGTTAACTAAAGCAACCTCCATTAATATATGATTTGATATCTAGCATAATCCTGTGACTGTAAGCTAGTGAAAATGAACCTTCTTCATGAATAGCAATGCGAATACATTGTTTATGCAATATGGATCTACCTCCTGAGTGGGACACCCATCATGGCACCCATTCCAGAACAGAGTGTCTTTTCTAACTACTGAAATACAGATTGTTTTTATGCAAATCCAATGGTTAGCATATGGAGGAGATTGTTCTAAAGGTGACCATTCACCTTACAAAGTAACTCGGACGATCTTAACAAGGTAGAACCAGAGTTAAGATAAAACTACCTTGATGAAATAGTGGGGCTCTACAAATGTTTGTTCCTTATTTTTTAAATCTGCACTTCTCTGAGTTATTATTTATAATTTAATTTATAATCCCCATTGCTCTCTGGGCAGAGAAAGTCATGTTTATAAGTAAGTTCTTACAATATCTAGGCAACATGATAGTTACCAGAAAATGGTCCATGCTTACATTGGCATTGACCAATCAATTAGCAAGCATACAACTGCTTGCCAGAACAATTCCAACAAGTTCTGTCACACCCAGACATTAAGCATAAACAATTAATGATTCAAGTTTCTGGCACAACATTGCATTAAAGAGAATAAATATAAATGATTTGCAAAAATCTAGCTATACTCAAATAACATAAAAACATTTTATGAGATTGTTATGATCTAGGCAACAATTAACAAATGAATAAATAAATAAACTTATGTCTTGTTTCATGTTTAATGAATTTTATATTTCTCTTACTGCGTGCCAGGTAGATCCAGCAGTGAGTTCAGATTTTTCTAACAGAAGCACATCCCTCATGCCAGCCTTGGCCAGGTGATAGGCAAGGCTCACACCAACACAGCCACCTCCAATAATGACTGTTTCTGCAGTATCTTTCCATCTTGCTTCTAAAGAAGATGGTTTTTCTTCCCTGGGAAAAATGAAGCAAACAGCATGCTTGAGTGTGTCTTCTTGTATACTTCTTGCCATAAAAATATGCCTATATTTTACATAAATAACTCAACAAATAGAGTATCGGTATTATTTTACTTTTACAATATTCTTATATGCACATGGTAATCACAAGTTATAGGATCCAAGAGAACACCAGACAGGGGTACCCAATGTGGTGTTCAGCTCCCTTCAAAAATATTTTTAAAACAAAAACCTCAGAAAATGCTAGGACAGTCTCCCCTCTATTTCTAGCCACTTGGCTGCTCTTTCTCTGTCTTCTAACTCTTTATCATGCTATTCCCCTCTCATCCTTAGTATACAGGCTCCTCCACACACATTTCTTGCACTGTTCCTATCTCTGTTTTTCTCTATTTCCCCATTCACCCAGCTGCTGGCATTGCTATTTCTCTCCCTCCCACCTCTTTAGAGAAGTCAGGCACCTATGACCAGCCACATCCTCCTTTAGAGTCATATTGTAGTTGCTTTTCCTCCATGTTGTAGCCCATTGGAGTTCCTCAACTTCCCAAATATTCCCACAGGTTCATAATTGTTAGAGAATGTTTACCTAAGTGCAATCAGTCAAAATTATTTCCTATCTAAATTTCTCACCCAGACTGCCAACTTAATTTTCCTTCAATTAATTTTCCAAAATACACATTTCATATTCAAACCCTAACAAATAACCCAGATCAATTTCCCTTCAAATAATTTTATTTATTTATTTATTTATTATTTATTTAGGAAGCTTCTATGCCTGCCCAAATTTTCCTGCCCAAATTCCATTCACACCCACACTAATTCCACATTTGTTAATTTTCCTTTGAAAATCCATCACACTCTCCCATTCCCACAAAATGCATGTCATCCCTCTAGTCAGTGTTGTCCCAGAATTCATTTCCCAGCAAATTTTCAAAAATTAATCCCTCCCATTCATTTGTTCTTCAAAATAGACATACACTGTCCCAATTACTTTTCCACACTGCTCCCCACCTCTTCCCTTCATTAGCCAACTCTGCTTTCCCCACAGCTACTGAACAATTGCACTGATGTTTGAGTCTTTGTTACCATGGTTCTCCATCAAACTTAAAGAGAACTTTTAAAAACTGGGGGGCTGGCCAATCAGCAAAAGCCACCAAATAGAGCCAGGTTGCCTCCATTTTTCACTATTCCTTTCTTATTCACATTGCCCAACAGCACAGATGCCTGTGTCACCAGGCAGCATGAATCAGAATGGTAAATAATGGTAGCCCTCTAAAAAGGCACGTCCCATTTAATTTTCTCCCGATTCCCAACAGCCCCCTCACCATTGCCCAATTCTATACCTCTGTCAGCAGCAACCTGATCCATTTTATAAATGCTTGAGTCTTTATTGTCTTGGTTCTCAATCTAAGAACATAAGAAAGGTCATGCTGGATCAGAGCAAGTTCCATCTAGTCCAGCACTCTGTACTCATGGTGACATACGAACTGCTTAATGAAATGGAGAACAAGGACAATGAAATTTAAAGAGTGAACTGAAAAAGCCCCATTGCTCAAGTTGTCACTCCGACTGGCACGCAAGCACAATAGGACACTGCCCAGAAAGTTGCACAATGTCCTTCGATTGGAAGTGTTAGGAGCTGCCTGTCCTGGATGAGCTCTTAGTGCATCATCCTTCCTTAAAAGATGTAGGAACAATAAAGACTTTCAGACTTCATTAAATCAGTATACCTCAGCTCAGCATAAAAGTTCCCAAGCTGCATTCATGGTGCATGAACCTGCAGCTGGAGAGATAAAATCCAATAATACCAGATTTTTTTTAAAAGGGGAAGCTATGTAATCTATTACACATATAATCCTGAGTAAATTGCATTAAACTACTCGGAATTCTCTTATAACAGCTAATCAAAAGTAAATATTTGGAGATTTCAATGTCAATTGTGACTTGCAGACCTGCTTTCTTAGGGGGATAGCTCCTCCCTGAATTCAATCAACCATCTTAAGAACAAAAAAAGTGCCAATAATCAGCACTTTTCTTAAATAATATAGTGGAATAACAGTGGTGCTAATACCCATGTCCACATAAAGTATAGGGTTCACTGTCTCCCTGTCTTTGGTTGCTGAAATTTATGTAAATAAGTGGGTCAGGTAAGTTGCATTTGTGTGTAAGCACACGCAACTATGTGCAGCTTTGGACCCACGACTTGACACTGCATGCAATTCTCAGGGTCAAAAAGACTGCCCACCCCCTGCTGTAGGATAGTCTTTTTCTTTTAATGGATATAGTGGCAGGAATAGAATCCATGAGTGAGGCTGGGTAAGTGCAAGTGGAAGCCACCTTGAATGGGTCTCTCATTCTCACTTTCTATTGAATTCCAAATAGAAATGGTATGTGTGGGGAAAATGTCTGGATGTTATTGGAAGGGAGCTTTGGCCTCTTTCAGACAAGGCAATATAACATCCATGCATAGTGCTTCAGAAAGTAGCCAACACAGGAGTGTGTACAAACATTTATTCAAAGTATTTCTGTTGCATACTTCAGTCAAATGACACATAGAACAATTTAAGAAAAAACCATCAGTCTCTGTTTTCAAACTCACAATCTAAAAAGGCAACTATGAACAGGGATAGGAGGAGAGAAGGGAAAGCATGATGGGCACCCTTTATTCAATTGCCCAGATATTTGGAAATATATCAATTAAACTCGAGTTTGCAGTTCATCAATTGTCCTTGGATTGGCCAATCTCTTCCTCTTCTGCACTTTCTCTTCTTTTGTTAAAGGTTAATCTGCTTCTTCTCCCATTCCTTATGGCAAAATCTTCTGCATACTTTCTTTCAGCAGAAATTCACCCCAGAAACATTTCCCCTACTAAATCTCACAGAAGCTGCTATCAAGAACACAGTATTGTAAGCAAGCAAGCATCAGGAAAGGGACAAAGGCTAACAATTCGCAGGAAACGAACAATAAGCATCAGCCTGTGGGCTGTGTGTAAACACTAACCACGGAAAGCGTTCTTAAAAGTAACATGGCATAGGAGAATGTGATGCAGTGTCTGAGTGTTCGGCTTTGACCAATAAAACCTGTTTTTTCTGCCTGCCCAAGCAGAAAAATTATTGTGCCACTCATTCCATCTCTCTCTCTCTCTCTCTCGTACCAGTAAAACCTACCTCACAGGATTGTTGTGAGGCTCAAGACAGGGGGATAATGTATGCTACACTGAGCTCTTGGAGGAAGAATGGCTAAAATGTAATAAACCCATATTAATTTAACTCCCAACCTAGATTATATACGCTCATGTATAAATGCAACGTCATTCAGTGTTTATTAATGCTACCCATTTTTAACCCAACCCCAGATTCTCAAAACAATTTCATGAAATAGGAAATAGATTTTTAATGAATATCCCTAATTTCACGGACATTCCCAGACTGCCAGTTTTTTGGAGCGAGGCTTGTGAATACAATCTGTGCAGCGCAGTAAACTCACAGTACCTTACTGCCTACCCAGAGAATACGCCATTATTTATTGGGGGGCGGGCGAAACAAATGACATTTCCGCCATTACTGTCTGGAAAACAGTCAAAGATTCACCGCCAGCAACACTGGGCAGAGGCACAGCCTGAGGCTGGACTCACCACCTCTTAGTGGTCGGGCTGCAAGCAAAGGGCCGAGCAGAAAGCGAAAAGGCGGGCTTTCCACCTCGTAGCCTCGGTGGGAGCAATCTCAGAGCTTCCCGGAGCATGGCTTCTCTCTCGCACAGGTGCTGGTTGCGCTTAGCGGCAGATAAGATGTCCTCCCGTCTTTCCTCCGCCTAGACTAGCAAAATCCAAGTATTCCCAATAAACCGAGCAAGCCCCGCCGATCCCGCGGCCAATCCCCACCGGGAAGGCAACCGGATCCGCCCCCCAGAGGCGAAAGAGAGACGAAGCGTTTTCGCATCGCTGAGAGGAGGGGGCAATTCCTGGAAATACCTGTATAAACTATCTGCACCCACTTTATCATAGCTCCTTGAAGGTGGTTGCACAGCAATTTAGGAAGCCATAAAGATGGGCGTCAGGGTATTTTATTTCAGCCATACACCAGTAAAATACAGCACATAAGTGGAATAATATTAATGCAATAAAATGGGTAGAAAAAACACGAATAATTATAATAATTAGGGAATTAAAATGCAGTAAAATAATTTGCGTAAATTTATCGCAGTGGACCAAAAGGTTGCCACTTTTGCAATGAATTTTGGGTCACAATCTAACATTAAATACCCTAGGTGTTGTTCATCTGCTCTCCCTGGGAACCGTCGTCTGAGGTTAAAAGTGAATGCCGCACGTCCTGATAAAAAAATACAGTATGGCAAAACGTCCTGAAGTTTCGACTTCTCCATTCCCACAGGGACACCCATTCTTGGTTCGGCTACCTGGTTGTCCTAAGTAAGGAGAAATAGGGCTGAAGTAAAGTTAGGGACAGAAAGATGGGGGGCTGAACTGTGCCCAAGGGGGAGGGATGGGAAGAATAAAAAAACTTGAAGCTACTAATGGTGTTGCAAGAGCTTTGGCGATGATCAAGAAACACTGCTGGGTTGGGGCGTGCACAAGTGTGACCCACTCCCTTGCGGAACATCTTTAAAAATCATATTCAAGGACCTCTCCCCAGGTATAAGTAGTGGGTTAAAACTTTGCATCCACTAGCAGAGGCCCACCCTACCTGCTAGATTAGAAGCAGCCCTCTGTACTAGCCTGTCGTTGTTAGTTGTGAAGTCGTGTCCGACCCATGGACAACACTCCTCCAGGCCTTCCTGTCCTCCACCATCTCCCGGAGTCCACTTAAGCTCACACGACTGCTTCTCTAGCCACCTCATACTCTGCCATCCCCTTCTTCTTTTGCCGTCCGTATTAGCCTTTTACTACCAAAACCAACATAGCGTCTTGTAGCACCTTAAAGACCAGTATGTTATTTGCTTTTTTTGAAAGGGGACATGAAAGAAGTTTTATGTTGCTCGTATAAACAGTTATGAACTCCTGAATCTTAGTGAGCTGGCTGACCTTATGAAAACTGTAAATATGCAGTAGCTAGATTTCTAAGCATTTTTACAAAATGCGCTTCGAGGGAATTGTACGGTGGTGGTGGGAAAGGTAGGTCAGTCCAACTATTAACTCATTTCCCCAGTGGAATTAATAACTCGTCATTATTATATATAAACTCGGTGTATGCGTTTTGGTAAGGGGTGCGGGAATGTGCTTCGCCAAGGGCTCGCTCAGTCCCCGCAGCAACACATTCACACACCGTTATCGCCTTTCCTCTCTGGCGCTCTCTCCCGGCCGCACTCGGCTTCCCTTTACGGGCGAAAAATTCGTTGCGCGAATGGGACGACAAAGAAGCAGCGGGTCCCCCAATCGGCGTCCAGCTCTCGACCTGCCCACCCGCCCTAGCTGTCTTTTCAAGGGATTTAAGACGGGATTGGCTCGTCGAGCTTTCTATGGCTCTCGGCACCGAAGGAGGGCGAGCCCAGTGTTGTACAGCGCCAGCGTGGAGCGACAGGGGACGTCATGGCACCTATTGGAGGGACCCCGAAAACCAAGAAGGTAAAAGCGAACGGCCGGTCCGGATGCTGCCTTGCTGGACTTGGCTTTGAAGAGAACTCCCTAGACATGGTCGCAGGAGTTGTCAACTTTGCAGATCATTCGCTCGGTGGGGCAGAGTGAGTTGTTCCTTTCTCTCCCGAGAGGAGCGCTTGACGGTCATATCTCAGAAAATCCATTAGAAAATCGTATCTCAGAAAACGGTGCTCCAATAAATAGATTCTTGTAAGCGGGAGTACTACTTGGGCCTTATTGCTAGGTAGACTGTGGAGAATTAAAACGAAGCAAAGCCTGTAGCAAAAGTTCAGGCAAAGACTTTGGGATAAGCACAGACTCTATGAGACTGAGGCCACATAAGCAAGATTTGCGTCAGAGTCAGTGGTTTTACACTGTGCTGAGAAAAAGCAGCCGGGGACACAAGTTGAAATAGGATATAGCCCTTTTTGAGATTTTTTGATACCCCAAATTAGCTTTTCCATCTGCTAAAATAAGGACTTGCAGATGCCACACCAATTTGAACTTTGGTGTGCTATCATTGATATTAGGAAATAGCCTGAAGACTGATTTTCACCTTTTTATCTTCAGAGCATAGTAATATCCCTTAGAATTAAATATTCTTCCTGAATTTTAGTTTAATATTATTAACTGCAAATTATAAAAGTGAAAGCTAATATAAGTCAATGTAATCGAAAGATAAGACCTGTGAATAATAAATTGGTTGAAGGGGTGTGTATGTAGCAGTTATTACTATTTGGAAAGTGATAAGTTTGAATGAAAATTACTGGAAAATACTGAGGAAAGATACCATCAACAACTTTATTAAGAGGAATAACATAGTAAATAATTCTAGACAAAATTTGAGAATGTCAGAGGGAAAAAAGGTAGTGGAAGTCAAGCCAAGAGACAACTCTTTATGCTGCAGTTGTCAGTGTGATTGGAGAGAGAAAATGAAGTTGGGTAGGGCTGTGTGGATGAAAGAACCAAAGAATTTGACAGATTCTTGATCGATGAGTAGAATGTAAAAAGAAGATGAATTAATAATGAATCCATACAGAACAACAGATTAGCATGTGAAACTGTTGGGAACCATACACCTAAATAAACCTCACAGTGAATGAAGGAGAGAGAAACACAGAAGACTAAGAACACACAAGCATATAAATGAGTTGGCCTGGTCACATTGCTGTTGCTGATAAATCCCTGGCAAAGCATTTGGTGGAAAGTTCCAGAAAAAGCTGGCCCCTGCCATTAGGCAGACAGCTGCTTTAGGCAACAACTGCTATGGGGAATGGCAGCAGTGTGCTGGGTGGACAGGTGTGCCATACTAGGTGCCCCGTGTCTTCTAGAGTAGCCTGCTGCCCCTAAGTGCAATGCCCTGTTATCAGTGTTGAAATTAGATTGAACTGCCAGTTTGCTAAGCTTCTGGATGTGACCTTGTCATTCACCTCAAGCAGCAAAACATCTTGGGCTGATCCTGATTTTGGAAAGCATCACTGGTTAACTAAAATGCTAAATTATTCCTTTCCACAGCATATGGAAAAGCACAGTGTATAATCTATTAAGAATTAGAGCAAATTCACATTGTTTTCCCTTGGGAAGCACAGTGTTATAAAAACAGGTCTGATAAAATGATATGTGTGTATCTTTTCGTAAATCTTTGAAGGGTGCAACATGAATGGAGCACGAACATTGCCAATGAACTTGATGACTTCTGCCTGACAGTTGGCAGAGAACTATCACTGCAGTTATGAAAAGAAACTGCAGGACAGCTGTCACTAATGTCTTAGCAGTTGTGTATGGTTCCAAAGCCAGATGGTCTTCAACAAACTTTAAGAAAAGTCTGACATTAAATGCATACAATACCTTGAAGAAAGACTCCAGATATTTTCTTGGTGAAGTATCTGATATTTGGGTAGAATCTGTCATTGACTTCTCAAAAGGGCACCTGGATTAGGGAAATGCCACATACTTTACAATTTAAGTATGTAATGTAATAAAGTTTACATGTTAAGGGTCCCGAGTTCAGAAGCCAATATAGTGTTCACATAAGTTCAGATTAGCTTGATTATGTAAGTGAAGCAAGGCTTGTATGTTCTTAGCGCATGTTTGGGATAAAATACATCTCCAGGGCCCATGCAGGGCAGTTTTACAAAGTGCTGTTCTTTTTTTCTTTTAGTAGACCTGTTGCGACTAACATATATATTTGGACAGACAAAAAAGATTTGAACAAGTATTTTTTAAACATCATTTGCAAAGTTACTCTGGTGGTTCCTCAGACTCTCAGTGGGAAGGAATTGCAAGAGAGTAATGCTTTTATGAAGTGTGAATGGAGATGATATGTTTTGAGACCCCAGTAATCATATCACCCCATTTTCCTCAATCAAACCACATTGGAAAAAGTTGTTAAGAGGCTGTTAAAAAGGCTGGATGATTTTAAAATTACTTTTGTAGGAATGGCTCTGAAAATAAAGCATCCATTTAGCCGCACAGTATCTAATTATAGACTTCTGTGTCTTGCAAACATGACAGACAATGTAATGTTCTCTAGTTATATAATAGAAATTTCTAATATAGCAGTATTATCATATTACTGTTATAAGGTGCCCTTAAAATATATTGTGCCTTTTCATATTCATAGATTGATTTTAAAAAACTTCCTTGAAATTGTGTAATGGAAATCTAATTTAGCTGTGGTTTCTTAACATTTCTGTTTTTCCTGTAGTATAATGATTAAGGGAACAAGCTACAAATCACTACAGATTTAAATTTCACTTCGCTGTGAATTCAGCTAGGAAAACCAGAATCCCACCCTCTGCAACGTGAGAGGAATACTAATAATAACCCTATCTTACAGTATTACAAGATAATATCTGTGAAGAGCTGTGAAAACACTACCATACATTACAAACGTTGTGTGGTTTATTTTTAGGGTATTCTAGAGCGTCTAGATGCTGGAGAAATTGTAATTGGTGATGGAGGATTTGTCATTGCTCTTGAAAAGAGGGGTTATGTAAAGGCCGGACCTTGGACTCCAGAAGCTGCTGTAGAGCACCCAGAAGCAGGTTAGTTTTATCCAGAAGTTATACTTTGAGCTCTATAAAATTATCCAGTTTTAGAATAAACACATTAGCTCCGATCTAGCTAAAGTTAGCTATCATAAAGTGTATGCTCCTAATGCACTGCTTAGGGAGTAAGTCTTATTGAACACAATAGGGGTTATTTCTGAATAAACCTTTGTAAAATTATGCTCCCCTTGAAGTCAGTGCAATGCTAGTTACAAGAAGTTAGCACCAGTCAGTGCTTGTACCATTATAAAGTGGGTTATATATTTGCACAGATAGTCATGGAACCTAAGTGCACTAATTTTTTATAGCTTTTATTTTTACTTCATGGTGCCCTGAATTAGTTCATACTGAAGTACTGCTTTAGCATTACATCTGTAATATTTAAGCTTCTTACTTTTTTCAGTTTCAGGTACTTGTTATAGGGCTTTGATGTACACTATCTGAAGGGATCTATTGAGACTTGAACACTGGCTCTTGGATTTACATAGAGGGAAAAAGCAAAGGCCCAAACATCCAGCCATACTAAATTAATTCAGTGGTCTTTTAGGTATACTCTGTGATAGGTTTGCTGGATGCTACTTCCATGACCCAAATAATTTGGGTTTTCCTATTCAAAGACAAAACTGTCACAATACAAAGAAGGTGAACTCAATCATGCTGTCATTACTGTTGCCCACCTTTGCCATTCCCCATGCAACACTTGAAGCCTACGAGAGGAAAACAGGATTTTGCAAAACATGATATTACATAACTGAGCTATGTTGCAAAATGCTGTCTAGTCAGGCAAATAATGATCTGAAGAATGAAACAGATGTGACTTTAAAAGAGTGATCCCATGGTCCCTAGACAAAATCCCCAGGGGCCATTGGTTTGTGAGGAGAATCCCTCCAAGGCTTTAGATTTAATACCAACTTTGGAGGGACTTCCTTGATGTTGGAACCCTCATTTTGGCTTCTTTCAGCTGCTGTAGAGGTTTCTAGTGTGTATGCCTCTGCAAAGTCAGAACTCCAACTGCATAATGAGAGGGGGGAAATAGGTTATAAGACTTCCCAGAGTTATAAGAGGGGGGAAATTATAAGAAATTATAAGACTTCCCAGCTTTTGACTACTCTTGTCTAAATGTTTCCCTCCCAGTGCTGACAGTGGGACAGAAGAAATATTGTTTTCCCCTACAGATACTCTCTCTTGACTTTTACTCATTCACAGGAGCTGACAAGGCATAGGAAGAAAGGGAGCCATTCATCAAAAGCATAGGCCTGCTCTGTCAATCATTCTTAAGTAAAATGTCTCTGTATTGAGGCCTGGGTGTAGATGAAAGGGGAGGGGGAGTTGTAGAAGTGGCCTTTAAATTGGATAGGAAATCCAAGAGTGTATGTTGAGCAATACACTCTGTGTGCTCCAGGCTTCAGTTATTGTGCAATAGGTAGCATAGCTGCGTCCTAAGCATACTGTGGAATTCAAAAGCACTTATTCTAGAGTCATAATTAGAAACACATGTTGCTGAAAGCAAGGCTCTTTCATTTCAGTTGGAAGAAATGTGCCAGATTTTCAGTTTGTGAAAATTGATGTAAGCTACCATTATAAAGATTTCACAGGCAGGAAAAAGAGGGTGAAAGAGTGATTTGTGCTTGCCTGAACCATGTTGGTTGTAAAGATGAGCCTCTGTGTATCTGGCCCTACAGATGAAATAGTTTAACAGTTTTGGATGCCTTTTGTATTTGTCATGTACCATTTAAAAGTTTAAAGTAACATTCAGAATTTTGAACAGCTAGAATACACATGACCTTTATTAAGAAATTGGTTGGGGTGTTACCTTTTCAAAATGTTATACAATATTATAATTAATTAAAAACACCATAAATCAAGATCATTGGGACATAGGAAGGAAATGCAGACTGTTGCTGCTACAATGCTAACATTTGAAAATTCACTTGTTTAAACATTTTGCAGTTCGTCAGCTGCATCGAGAATTCCTCCGGGCTGGATCAAATGTTTTACAGACATTCACCTTTTATGCCAGTGAGGACAAATTAGAAAACAGAGGAAACTATGTGGCTGAGAAAATATCTGTGAGTATTTTTACTATTTTATCAATGTTTTTGACAAGTAGGTAGAGTTACGATTTCAACACAGAAACATGGTTCAACTTTATAAACCCAAAGATATAGACACAAAGATTTCAGTAAATTAAAATGTACCAATATTTAGAAAACTAGAATGACATAATAGCTGTGTTGGCCAAATTACAGTCCAAAAAACAGGGATAGCTCAAACCCATAGCTCTAGAGAGAAGAAGAAAGTTAGGGAAGATCTATCACAGAGTGTCTTTTGTGCACCAATGGGAAATGACTATTTTAGATCTTCATCTTCTACTTTAGACCCCACTACCTGCATATGTACCTTTGATAATGCATAAATATGGAGATTAACAAAGTGCAGAGTAAATCAGTTCCTCTGAGTGAAAAATAAAACAAAATGAGCCGCAGGAGGAAGGAGAAAGAAAGTGGGGAGCTCACCATGATACTGCTTCCTACCATTATCATTGTCCTTGCATGGGGTAAATGCAGCAATGCCAGCTCCCTCTTTTTCACTGCACTGCACTCAACAGCTTTTCTCAGAAGACTGTGCACCCCTCTCCAGTGCTGACTTTGCCAGGAGTGAGCACAATTGAAGACAGTGGGCATGCATATCATCTATTTTCAGTTCATAGTGTTTTGAGGCATGCAAAAGCAAAGGATAAAGGAGCTAATTGAGAAACCTTGAAAAAAAATTCTGAACTGTAGTTTTTCAAATAATACAGTGTTTAATAAAATTCTCTTTACTGCATGCCAAGTAGATTCAATGGTAAGTTCAGATTTTTCCAACAGAAGCACATCTTTCATGCCATCATTGAGTTAGCTCTTGCTTCCACTGGCCAAGGCCAAGGGAGAGGGTTTTTCTTCATGATGCCTTTAACCCACTGGAGGCTTCTGTTTATGAATTCTTTGTGAGATTAAGATGAGCTTTTTCATACATGTTCCCCTCCCCCAAGGTTTTTCCTCCTTAGCCTTTCAATCTGTTCCATTACACAACCATTAGGTGGCATTACAGCATGGAAGAATTGAGCGAATGCACCAGGGTTTCAAGTCTCCATTTACAGAAATGCAAACCTTTTCCCATTTGAGGGAAAAAAGCCCAGGAGACAGTGTGGAGGATAGCAACATTGTGCTAAGCAGCTACAAACAGCTGTGAGCAAGGAACCAGGAGTGCTCAATAAATCCCTCATACAAGAAGACTCAAAAGGGAAGAAAATATACGCCCTTCATGAGAGGGAGATGTGAAAGTAATTAAAAGAGACTGTTGTTCTCCTCAAACTGCTGCTGCTGGCTTTGTTTGCAAGGAGGTTTCCCAAGGCTTCCTGTGCCATGCAGAATAAGCCACTTTCCTTGGCCAGCACCTGAGGACTAAGAGAGAGGCATGGCTGGTTATGGGCTTTCCAAAGATGGAACCTTCACCACTACCTCCTTCCTGTTACTTCTTATGCAACCTCACTTCCTTCTGGGAAGCCCCTTTGAACCAGCCATATTTTTTTAATAACTACATGCCTGATCTTGTTCCCCTGTTACTGACAGCCAGCAAAGAGAACAGTAGAGAACATTTCCTCCTCACAGCACCAAATTATTACTCATCAAGATACTACTCTCAGAAAACTGCAAGATGTTTAAAATGCAATAAAGTACTGTAATGTGAACTGGCTTAAAGCACAATCTGTCACAGAAGAGTTAACTGACAAACAGGATGAAAATGGTATAATTGCCAGGTGTCTGCCAGTGAGAGCCTGGTGCCCAAAGCCGTGAGAGAGCCAGATCATCCCTGGGAATACAAAAGGGAAAGGTACTGTAAATTATGGCCAAGGACAGGAGAATTTACACTCCCAGGGACCAAACAGGAGATTGCAGCAAGAAGGGCAAATGGTCCTCACCTGGGATCTATCACATGCTGTCCTCCTATGAGCTATCCCATTGGGGATGGGGGAATAAAAGAGAGGAGCCTGCAGTACTTCAGGAGAGGTTCCACTCTTGCTGCCGGAAGCCTTGCCGAAGTATGCTGTGCTACCCTGTATTTGTGTGATTGCTACAACTGGTATTGTAGCTGTGTATAGCTGGGCTAGGGAAGCTTCATTATTTTGAGTCCGAGGAGGTCAGTGGGACCTGGGTTTTCAGGGGTTGTGATAGATTATGACGTGTATTAGTGTAAAGGTAAAGGTTTCCCCATGACATTAAAGTCCAGTCATGTCTGACTCTTGGGGGCAGTGCTCATCTCTATTTCTTAGCTGAGGGAGCCAGCATTTGTTTGCAGAGTTTCCATGGTCGTGTGGCCAGTATGACTAAACACCGAGGTGCACAGAACGCTGTTACCACTGAAGTGGTTCCAATTTATCTGCTTGCATTTATATGCTTGCGGACTGCAAGGTTGGCAGGAGTTGGGACAAAGCACGGGAGCTCAACCCAACTGCGGATTCAAACTGTCAACTTTTCGATCAACCAGCCCAGCAGCTCAGCCGTTTAAACCACTGCGCCACCCGCAGTCCAAATGCTATCCAAATGCCCTTTTCCTTCCCTTCCTTCTTTGTGTGTATTTGTGCCTTGTGTGTTTTAACTGTATTAGTACTCTCCACCCCTATCTTTTAGGCTTTTCATAAAATTCTTTTTCCCCAACTCTTGGGTTATAATGTGCTGAATCCAGTGTCTGGTCCATGATCCAGGCCCAAGGAAGATTTGGGCAGAGATTATAGCTCAGTCAGCTGCAGGATTGGGGAATCCCAGGCAGCTATCCACTACAAGTACAGAATCAAGAATTCCAGGATGCAAAGACTGAAATAGCATGTAAATGGGTAGGGGGATGTGTTGACCAAAAAAGTTGTGTCTGCCTCTTCCTGGTTAATCTTACCATAGATATTATTTTAATATTGCCTAAAATAACTTGTCAATGGCTAAATTTATCAAATATTGGTTGACAAAGTATAATTTGTATTTTCTTATAAGGCAAAATGCTATCACATGAAAGAAGAAATACCATGCACATACTTGATTACATTTACTGATGATTATTGATATGGAGAATACAATTAGAAATCAGTTGGTTCTTTCCATCTCATTCAGAAAGATGGTAACATCCTGTATGTTCCAGCTGGTGGAGAGATCCTACTGTGCTCACCCTTCAGACCAAAAATGTATTCAATCTTGCCTCTGTCTCCATCTCCTCCACCTATTGCTATACCACATCTTGAATTCCATCATTCCAATACATAAAATCCTTTTGTTCAAAAAAGGTTCTTCTCGTTTCTTCCTTTTCTTGATCTAACTACCTTTTTAAGCTTAAGCATGCAGAAAAGTTTGCAGAAAATGATATTCACTGAAGTATTACTTTGTTTACACAGGTTAGTTAGGACCATTCTCAAATATGAGAGCCAGTGTGGTGTAGTAGTTAAGTGCATAGGACTGGTACTCAGATCTAGGTTCCCACTAAGCCATGGAGCCAACTGAGTGACTTTAGGCCAATCAAAGATTCTCAGCCAAACCTACCTCACAGGGTTGTTGTGGGGATAAGTTTGAGAGCAGCAGGAAGAGAATTAAGTAAGCTACTTTGAGTCTTTGTTAAAAGACAAATAAATATAAATAAACCCTTTGCATCAATCCACTATTGTGAATCCCAACCTTCCCCATGAAATTGCACTATGCTGGTAACATGTTTATTGATTTTTTCTGCAGTAGAAGTGTGGTTATGTTTATGATGTAAATCAGCACTAATGGTGTTTTCATATTATTAGGGCCACAAAGTAAATGAAGCCGCTTGTAAAATTGCAAAAGAAGTAGCCCAAGAAGGAGATGCTTTGGTGGCTGGAGGCATCAGTCAGACACCTTCATATTTAAGTGGCAAGAAAAAAGCTGAAGTTAAAGCAGTCTTTCAAAAGCAGCTAGAAATTTTTATCAAAAACAGTGTGGACTTCTTAATTGCAGAGGTAAATGAAACAATTAAGGAAGTAATGGATGTTGTTAAGAAAGATAATAAGGTTCATTATGTTATTTTATAACTGAAGTGTTATCAAAATCTGTTACTGTTTCTTCAGAGGGAAGTTAAAGCAATCTATTTGGCATAAAGTCTGGAATGTGTAGAGCGGGGATGGCTAAACCAAGGCTCAGGAGCCGCATGCAGGTCTTTGAGTTTATATTGTGGTTTGCCACTCACTGCCCACTAACATTGCCTCTGGGTGCCCACTTGCTGCTTGCCATGTGCTGGTGCTGCCCACAGCACCTCTCAAACTTCGGACATTTACTGTATGTGGTGCTTCTATTGAGCAAGTCTAGCCACCCCTGGTATAGAGCAACCTTTCCCAATCTGGGAATCTCCTGATGTTTTAGACTACAACTCCCAGCATTCAGGAACATTATCTGCATTGTATGAAGCTGATAGCAAATGCAGCTGTATCCAGAACATTTGGAAGGTTACAGAAGTTTGGGGACGACAAGTCTAGCATGTGTTTTCTGTGCTCACTCACTCACACACTCTGTGTGTGTGTGTGTGTGTGTGTGAGAGAGAGAGAGAGAGATATAGAGAGAGAAAATGAGAGAGAGAGAGAATTACGCTTCAAAGTCATAGTGTGTGCGCTAATAAAATACTATTCACATAACAGGGTTTTAGAGCTCCTGGACCCTGTCATTGAAAGCATGTGAAGGAATTATTAGGAAAGATTGGAAATGTGGTTTGGAGTCTACAGCAGGAGAGGAAACTCTCTGAAAATTAGGTGAACCAAGGAGATGCTTTTGGGGCTGCTGTGGTAAAAGCCTAATTGCACAAACAGGCTTCTATTTCTGCAAAGGCAGGACACAATGGTGAATGGATTATGTTTGCATTGTTCCTGATTCTAGTCATTCTTGTGGTTAGATTCCACTTTATTTAACAACTACTGTTCCATTTATTGTAAATAATTGGGGGGAAATCCACAGTTAAAAATAAAAAATTTAGACAGGAATATTTTGAATATTTAAATATTAATATAAAATGACTGTTTTTCATTTATATTTATTAGTGTATGACAAAAGCTGTCCAAACACCTGAAAGTCCAAAAAGTATTTCTGAAAAGTAGACTTCTTTCCATTCCCCCCTCTTCCTCTTCCTCTTCTAGTATTTTGAACATGTTGAAGAAGCTGTGTGGGCAGTTGAAACCTTAAAGGAATCTGGGTTGCCAGTTGCAGTTACTCTTTGCATTGGCCCAGAAGGAGACATGCATGGTGTGCCACCTGGAGAATGTGCCGTTCAACTTGTCAAAGCTGGTAATACTCTATACTTGTGATATCGCTAGATTAGTGTGTGTGTGTGTGGGGGGGTGGATATTAGCAGTATAAGATGAGCAGAAAGAAAATGAACAAAAGAAAATGTAGAGCACGAGCAAAATTGGGAGGGGATGCACACTGGATTACTGGGCAGTTGAAACCTTAAAGGAATCTGGGTTGCCAGTTGCAGTTACTCTTTGCATTGGCCCAGAAGGAGACATGCATGGTGTGCCACCTGGAGAATGTGCCGTTCAACTTGTCAAAGCTGGTAATACTCTATACTTGTGATATCGCTAGATTAGTGTGTGTGTGTGTGGGGGGGTGGATATTAGCAGTATAAGATGAGCAGAAAGAAAATGAACAAAAGAAAATGTAGAGCACGAGCAAAATTGGGAGGGGATGCACACTGGATTACAACAGTGATGGATGTAAACCTGCCCTTTGGTCTATCTCTATCTCCCTTCCTTCCATTCTTCCTCTCAATAACATATCTGAGCTTCAGTTTGCCTTGCAACTTGGTTGTTGTAGCAGGAAGGTGCTATTAAAGACATTCTGACCCATTTGCACTAATTTACAGTAGCATACACTATCTTGGTACAGCAACATTTCAGTGAGCTTTCTAATCTGTTGTCATGATGACATTCTTCCTTCAATATATATATATATTTACAGATCACATCTATTAATTTTATTAATTGTTAGTAATTTTTGGTGCTTTCTGTTTCTATGCAATACTGACTTACATATGTGTAACGGAAAGCCGTCAGGGATTCCCCACTCCCCTGGCCAACTGGGCCAAGTCCTGCCCAGAAAAACCCTGGTGACATAACCTTGGAGCAGCCACAGGATTCAGCACAGGAGAAACCCAAGCCAGGGGAAACAAACAACTTTATTAAATGGTTAAACTATAGGGGTGGAGGGGCTAATACACGGAATCTAAAAAGGATAAAGAGAGGGAAGGGAGGAGGGAAAAAGGAATTGGACAGTGGCAATAAGACAAGTTATGGCCAACCAAGAACCTCATTCCCAGGGCTTTGTTGGCACAATCAGACAGCAAAATAACAAACAGCTTCTATCCTAGGCTATACACTTGTGGTCCCCAACCTTCTGGGACATGGGAAAGTAGGTATTAGTTGTACAGTTTTATTTATTTAATTTTAAAATTTGTAATTGCCCTATTCCTTACACTTAGGTGTCAAAACTGCATTTTAATAAGTGCAGTTTGTGCAAATGATCTTGTCATCTACTTTAGCAGCTCTAGTATATTATGCCTCTCCAGTTAAAGGGGCATCTTTTTCCAGGCAAGCTAGGAAGAACTGTCTACACCTTGATACACCTGAAAATAATTTTGCCTCAAGGAGATTTCTCAGGAAGTGGAAATAAGCTTTTTCAGTCAATGAAGGGTTAAAAACTTTGGTTTGCTGGAGAATTTTGCAGCCAGGGATCAGCTACATTCTCCCTATTTACAAAATTTCTGGAGTCACTTACTGGAATGTCTCTAGTATTAATTTAACTTGAACTTCCTGTAATTTTCAGCTACAGGTTGGAGATGTTATCACATTGCCTGTTAGAACATTTCATGTCATCAATATAATATTTTAATAATGGTGTTGCTATGGACATTTCAACCATGAAAGCCCTATTAACTCTTGATCAACACTGGCCACTTCAAAGATTACATTTCCCTGTATGTTGCAAAGCAGCTGGAGCTGTAGCAAGAAAATAATGCATGTCTATAATACCATAAAATGCAACCTTGAATGCAGGATACTTGAACTACATCCCATAATACGTGTACTTGCATCTGATGTTCCCAACATTAAAAAGACATAGGTAATCTTTTGCTATTTTCTGGATATTTTTGTATATGCATAGTTAAACTGCAGAAAGGAAAACATATATTAAAAAGGACCTTGTACACACTGAACAATTGCCTTTAAAACATTATATTGTAGACCATTATATAATGAAATACATTCTTGAATGCTTTCCTTTTTATTCTTTAGGTGCATCTATTGTTGGAGTAAATTGCCATTTTGATCCAGCTACTTGTCTTAAAACTGTGAAACTGATGAAGGAAGGTTTGACAGCTGCTAATCTAAAAGCACATCTGATGTCACAACCACTTGCATTTCATACTCCTGACTGTGGGAAACAGGGTTTCATTGATTTACCAGAATTTCCTTTTGGTAAGAATTGAATGTATTTGTTCTTAATAATGCCAAGCTAAAAGAAAAATAGCACATTGCATCAAAAAGCATTAAGGCTGAATTCTCATGCACAAGTGCTGGGAATAAATCCACTGCATTCAGTAGGACTTACTTGAAAGCAAGCATGCATACAGTTAAGACTGCAGTGAAAATCATATACTGCTGTGAAGCTCATACAAAGGCAGCTCTTGTTGAATAACATGACAATCTTTTCAAAGATAATTTTATGTGTAGGATTTTGTAAGAAGTATTCAGAATGCATTACAATTTAATGAGTGCTTCAGTTATTGCTTGTATGATGTTTGCATCATTTCCTCCACTAAATTACAATGGAATTTTTGTCTTCCCCTAAAATTTTGCTCCAGAGTAAATGTTAAACTAGAAGTCAAAGTAATTTCATACTTAACCATCTCTAGTTTCTCCAACTTTTTACCTCTTTTACAAAATGGATCCATAGATGTTGCTATCCAAAATGGAGTTCTTAACTCCTACTGTGATTTTTCGGTTCAAAAATTCCTCTACCACTAGTCCAACAGCTTTCCTCTCTGCTGGCAAAAAACAATTTTTAGAAGAACACCCAGTCAATGTGAAGAGGTTAAGAAGTCCCTCCTTATTTTTCTTATTAATGTGTGTCCTCAGTCACAGGTTCACATGCATGTGTACTTGACTAATACTATTTTGGGACCTTGGGTGCACCATGGCATTGTTGGGTGCACTGTTACATTGCTGTAAACAGTCCAGATAGCGTTGCCTATGGAGCAGTATAAAAATGAAATTAATGCTGCTGATGATAGGAACGTTATCTTTACAATAGGGAAATTATTATTGGAAAAGAATAATTTTGTTTAAATTTTATATCCCTTTATACAAAGAAATCAAAGCAGCTTACATAATATTCTTCGTCCTGCTCAGCCTCTTGCCCCACAACAACAGCCCTGTGAGGTAGGTTAGGCTGAAAATCTATGATGGGCTCAAAGTCACCCAATTGGCTCCATGACTGAGCAGGGACTGGAACTCAGGGTCACCAAAGTCCCAATCCCATGCTCTTAATCACTACACCATACAGGATATAATATGAAATAAGAAAAAATGCTGTACAATAAACTAGAATTATTTTTGAAGCAACCTTGAATGTCATTTTGTAAGTAGAGAACTATTTCCTTAACAGTAACTCTTCAGATTGGCTCTGCCTTTTAGTATTTTTCCTAAAGCTAGATTTACTTCTCATCACTGCTCAAAATTGTTTAGAAACTAGAAAAGTAGTGAATAAATTTACAACTAAATATGTATTTCCCATATCTGTGTAGAATACTAACTGAACAGTCAAGAAATATTGACATTAAAGCAACTGTATATCATTACAGCTTTGGAACCAAGAATTGTAAGCAGATGGGATGTTCACAAATATGCAAGAGAGGCCTACAACCTGGGGATCCGATACATTGGAGGGTGCTGCGGATTTGAACCATATCATATCAGAGCAATTGCTGAGGAGCTGGCCCCTGAAAGAGGGTTTTTGCCACTTGCTTCTGAAAAGCATGGCAGCTGGGGGAATGAATTGAGCATGCATACCAAGCCATGGGTGAGAGCAAGGTAAGTATATTTTTAACGCTCATACTAAAATAGTCTACTAAACAAATTTCCTTTAAGAAATTTGCCTCCAATAGCAAATTACTTAATAGTAGAATTCTGTGTTGTCATACAAAACCATGTACAATAGCAGTTTTGTAGGGGTAAATGTATAGACCGAAAGTGAAAGACAGTTTAGAACCCACCTCAACATACGAAGTATTCTGATTAAGTTAAATCTGCTCCAGCTTACTGTAGACTGTTCAACAGTTCTACAGTTACAAGTTCCATTCAGATTATTGATAATAGAAATATTGCCCTCTCCACGTTGGACTGATCCTTGGACCGGCAGCTTTTTTCTGTATAGTAAACCTGGAGAATCTGTCAGGATAGTGACTTCTTAATTCATATGCCAAGTAGTTTCCCTGAGGAAGAATACTGATATTCATGGTATATTGGAAAATTTAGAAGTCCATTTGCTATTTTATCTTATTTATTAAATGTCCACCCTGCCCATTAGCCAGGATGACTCTCTGGGTGGTTAATAAATAATAAAGCTGATTTGCCTTATATTCATATATCTGTCTGATATTGCTCTCCTTCTGGTTACAGCTGTACTGCAGGTCAACAAAAATTATCCATATATATCTGGAATGTAGTTGTGAAGCTTTGTAAAAAGTTTTGAAACCTCATTTATACCTATTACAAATCACAGTATTGGTTAACATTTAGGTTCAGGGTTTTTTTTCCCTCTCCCCTACTGGGCCAGTTGCATTCAACAACAGATGAGATTTTAGTAAATTAGTATTCATATCCCAGAAAGCTTATTCAGAACAGTTATTTGCACAGTTAGGATTAGAATTGAAATTCTTTTACGACTATCCCATCATTTAAAAATATTTAATAAGATTTGTCTTTTTATACCTAGGGCTAGGAAAGAGTACTGGGAGAATCTGTTGCCTGCTTCAGGTCGTCCATATTGTCCCTCATTATCAAAGCCAGATAACTGGGGAGTGACCAAAGGAGATGCTGAGCTGATGCAGCAGAAAGAAGCAACAACTGATGAACAGCTGAAAATGCTCTTCGAGAAACAGAAATTGAAATCCAAAAGTGTGGCCTGAATTATTAACAATTTTGTTTATGCTAAAATAATTGCATTAAGCTAGACTGAAAAAAATTCCTACAGCTCCCCACATTCCCCAACCAGCATGATGGACTGGGGAATGCTAGGACTTATTTTTCTGTCAAAATATGCATAACATTGTGCCCTTAATGCATAATTGATGAAGTGGGAAGATGATTGAGGCAGAAATTGTTATTTTACAAGTTTGAAGTATAATAAACTTCAACAATGTAATAATTATTAATGAAAGGAAAACTATATGTGAAACTTCACAAATTGATTTTTTTAAAGTGGCATCCACAATGCAGGCTTCAAACTTTTTTGTATATTCTAGCTTGCTTCCAGCATGACTTATTCAAAGAAAGTTAATCCTCCTCCACTACTGAAATAATTCAGAGTTAAGCATACAGGAATATTAACAGCCCCATCTTGAGTGCATTTTCTCAGAATATGCAGAATGATGCCCCCTGGGGGTAGATGGAGATTTTGTGGTAGAGTTTTCACTACCTCTTAATCTCTGCTGATTTTCTGTGGCTAGGATAGGAGAGGTAGGGGGAAGGACAGGTTCTTAAATTCCTTCACACCCATTGGTTCCCAGTTGTTTGAGTTTGTTAAGGAAATGAGGCATCTTAGGATTCTCTGAATCCTGAGTTGTCCTGACACACCCTTAAAAATGTCCCATTTTACCTCCCACTGCTGGCATGCTGTGTTGGGCTATTCACAGCCATAGAGTTTCCAGCAGTACCATCCCTCAAACCTTCATCCTTCTCCACTGGCAGGATAGCACCTCAGCTGGCCATTTACTGGATGTATGATTTGTACCCTAAGTCACAATGCATTCAGTATTTCAAAGTGAATGTTTAGGATTTGCAGGTATGTTTTGACTTTCTGTGGGTTGGGCTTATTTGATAAATTTACTTCCCCTAAGATCCCCTCCTTGTAGCCAAAGTATAGTTTTTGAAAACTTAAAGGTATAAGTGCCTACTTTGGAAAAATGTGTTGCTCAAGATAAGAATTTATATAATTTCACTCCTACTGTACAATTTTAAAACTTATTAAATGGGAGACTACCTCCAATAAGCAGAAAACAACTGTTCCACTACTTGCTGGATACATTTGCAATGTTTTCATTGCTCAGTATGAATGAACCATTCTAGTGTACTTCACTGCAACAACTGTTCAAGTAATCAAGATTATTTTGCCCATATCTCTCTGCTTATGTAGTAAGGTCAGTGTTTTTTGGTACAAGCACTGAAAACTGTAATTTACTATTGTCATGTGGAATCAAGGTCATACGTTAAAATACTAATGTGATAATGCTCAAACATGTAGCTAATACCTGGTATATACTGAGGGAAGCACAATATATGATCCCAATTTTTTCCATAACAGCAATAATCTGTATTAATACTAATAATGTTAAATTATCTTAATTTCAGTTATTTGAAAGAGTAAATTATGTTTAAAATGTGCACAATTATGAAAATTCAGTGACCAAAAAAGGAAACAGAATTTTAACATAGATTAGGATTCATTGGTACAGAACAGTGCTTTCCATGAGTATGTTCACCATGGCACCATATAACTGAAATACTGAATAACCAGCTTTGTATGGAACAATACAGAGAAACATGATGCAAGAATGTTCATAAAGCCAACGTTACTTTTGTAACTTGGTGTCATTTAAATTAGGTCCCTAATTATTAAAGAAAAGTTTGAGATTTAATGCTTTGACTAAAACTAGGATAATTTGTATTATGTACACCACATTTGTATAACTGCTAAAAGTTAATTTCCAGAGGTATAGCCATGTGAGTCTCTTGCAGCAACGACTTGTGAGGCACCTTAAAAACAAGCTTTGAAGGGCAACAGTTCATTTAAATACAGTAAGCTGAAACAGCAATTGGCCAAAGGTAGCAGGCTGAATAGGGACTTGAATTCAGGTCTGTATAGGCCGAGTCTGACACATGAACCACCACATCTTACTGGACTGGTTTGCACATTACCCTAACCCATCTTGGCAATAGGGCATGGATTCACTGTTGCTTGACTAACCCATATTGTAATTGCCTGACAATGAGGTACAGTATAGGTTGTCTCCCTCCCCCTTGGTCATCCTGTAGGTATTTCAGGGACTTGACAGCAAAACCAACTTAACTCTTCTTCCCCAACCACTACAGTAAGACCGTTTGTTTGTTTGTCATCGCATTCCCCCTGCCCCCAGAGATGATGAATCGTGATCTCCAAATGACAGCCCTTCCAGAGTGCCAAGGTACACTAAAGTGGCTGTCATTCCCATTGCTTGGCCATCTCTTAAAAACAAATTTTGCTCCAAATGTGCAGCATGTTTTTCATTTTTGATCATTCTAGTCATACTTGCATTATATAAGTTTTATATATATAAAGTTATGCTCAAAATCTTACAAGCTAGGCTGCAGAAGTATGTGGACAAAGAACTACCAGAAGTACAGGCAGGGTTTCAATGAGGCAGAGAAACAAGAGATCAAATTGCCTACATACGCTGGATCATGGAGAAAGCTAGGGAGTTCCAGAAAAATATCTGCTTCTGCTTCATTGACTATGTTAAAGCATTTGATTGTGGGGATCACAACAAATTGTGGCAAGTTCTCAAAGAAATGGGAGTACCAGACCATCTTTTTTGTCCTTTGAGAAACCTGTATGCGGGTCAAGAAGCAACAGTGAGAACTGTACATGGAATCACTGATTGGTTCAAAATTGGGAAAGGAGTACGGCAAGGCTGTATATTGTTGCCCTGCCTATTTAACTTAAATGCAGAGCACATCATGGGAAAGGCCAGGCTAGATGAATCACAAACTGGAATTAAGATTTCTGGAAGAAATATCAACCTCAGATACACAGACGATGCCACTCTAATAGCAGAAAGTGAAATGGAGGTAGGTAGTGACAGATTTTATTTTCCTGGACTCCAAGATCATAGCAGATGGTGACTGCAGCCAAGAAATTAAAAGATGATTGCTTCTTGGGAGGAAAGCTATGGCAAGTCTAGACCGCATACTAAAAAGCAGAGACATCACCCTGCTGACAAAAGTTCATATAGTCAAGTCTATGGGTTTCCCAGTTGCAATGTATGGCTTTGAAAGATGGACCATAAGGAAGGTTGAGCGTCAAAGAATTGAGGCCTTTGAGCTGTGGTGCTGGAGAAAACTCCTGTGAGTCCCTTGGACTGCAAGGAGATCAAACCAGTCAGTGTTAGAGGAGATCAACCCTGACTGCTCTTTAGAAGGCCAGATACAGAAGATGAAACTCAAATACTTTGGCCACCTAATGAGAAGGAAGGACTCACTGGAGAAGACCTAATGCAGGGGATAATTGAGGGCAAAAGAAGAAGGGGACAGCCAGAGGATGAGGTGGCTGGATGGAATCACTGAAGCAGTTGGTGTGAACTTAGCTGGACTCGGAGGGATGGTGGAGGACAGGAAGACCTGCGGGAATGTCATCCCTGGGCTTGGGCACGGCTTCATGACTAACATAATAATACTTCCCTGTCCAAACTATTTTGTTTACCCCTGCTTAAATTCCTGTTTTTGAAGAAATATCAGTGTTAAAAAGAAGGGTGAAAAAAGTGAATTTCTCAGACAATGTACACTTTGAGCACAAGTACTCTCCAGGACATTAACTAGACAGCAAGCCACTGACAATTGACCTCAGGTGTCCCTTGGTGAGCTTGGCAAAAATGTCAAGGTGTTTCTGCTACTCTTGCCAAGTAGCTCTCTAGCTACTTCTAGGTACACACTGTGGAGTCAGTCATGTTCAGATGACATGACAATCCCTCATGGGTACAAGCAACCCTAGCTGTCATAGTGGCTTGTTCCCCTCAAGCAAGCTACCCTGCATGAAGTGGTCTGAGTTCTCATGACGTAACAATGCACTATGGCTTTGTCACACATGATAGATGGTATCCTGTGAACCCCATCACCCAGTTTATTTCATCTATAATTCAAGCATGAATTAAATTTTTAATATTTAGAACGTTGAAAGCAAGACAAAACATTACTGTTCTTTCTGACCAAATTTCATTGTAGGCCTAGATCTTCCTAAGTTCTGCTTCTGTTTTACCTGTAGGTTTTCTCTAAGGCAACATATTTTTCTGGGTGTTCTTGAGAAACATCTCAAATATTTTCTTTGAACAAAGCACTGAGAACTGAGCATCTGTTGTATATCATGGAAGCCAACAGACAAGTGCTGTTTCTTCATAATTTACTGAGTGTGTATTCACTGTGTGAACAATTAACATACTGGGCCCAGGCTCAAGTTTCTGCAAAGGAGGAACATGCTAACAGGCACAATGGCCTATTTTGGATTGCTAAAACCATGAGTAGTCAAGGCAAGTGTGCTCCTTCCTGACTGCTTGCTGTTTATGCTTTGTTTCCACTTTAATAAATAACCCAAGAGGGGGTTATTTTTCATTATGTCTGAACCCAGAATCCTAGGTAATTGAGGGAGAAACAAACCAGAGTTTTAACACAACAATGAACCATGGGCTGAAATTCTGTGTTTCTCTATCAGCAACACAGAGTTCGAGGTTCAGCACAGAGTTTGGGCTATTGAGCAGCATATAAATTTGAAAATAAATTATATATAAACTCGAAGGATATATTCAAACTGAGAACTGTTCTTTGACAGCCCTTCAAACAGATTCCTCTTTTTGGTGATGTGTAAATGGCCACCCTAAAAAGTATAATAAAAGGCACAAAATTGCATACAGTTTACATGTGATAACTTTTATGTATAGTCGTGCATGTAGAAATGCAATACATCTAACCATTGCAGAAAGGGTTGTGGCCAGATGGCTTGCATGCCTGATTGCTCAGTTTGCTCTACAGTCCTTACTGTTGATGGACAGATTCACACCCATGAACTCTCCCTTCTTTGGGTTTTTATTTTTCAGCTGAATTCGGACTGGACTCCCATCAAACAGTGGATGCCATGAAACTAAGAACCATCCTCAGGTTCCCATTCAGAAAGAGAATGCATGGCCACCTTAGGCAGAAAAAAACTAACCCCAGCTTTACTTCTACGAAAGTACCATAACAGAAGCTCAATCTTTATTGACAGAAGAAGTTATATATTTTTCTATACACCATTGTGTTGAGACTGATTGGAAGACTGTCAGTGTAATAAGGAATTGTTATGAACTGTTCAGTGTCTGCCACTGTCTTCTAAATAGGAAATATTAGAATAGATAGCTTTCAGGACTGTGAGAAACACTGTAGTCCAG